CTTTGTTTTTTCACTTGACAATAAATTTTGAAGCTCTTTTCAAACCTAAACATAGATTTATGTCATTAAAAGTACATAATTTTCTATATTTTTTTCCTATAATTTATTCACCTATTCTACAGTTGGCTATTATCTGGGTTATTTTTAATTTGTAATAAAATGGTATCTTCTTGAGCTCGTCATTTTTCACTCACACCATCTCCACAATGGCAGCATCATTTCCTGTGGCTCCATATCTCTCCACCTCTCCCTGGCCAATAGCGCAATTTCTTTGGCTCCAAATCGTCTGAATAGTCACCCTCCAATACCCATTTTAGAGTAGCAGTATCTTCTCTGCTCCTTCCTCATAGCTTGAGATGAATGCAGAAAATTGCACAACCAAAGATGAAAAACTGGACAACTACACACTAAGAGAGGAGTGTGGTGGCTCCATACGATAAGCACTGGACTGTGAACCACAATGTCTGTGGTTTGAGCTTGCCAGTTGTTTTGTGGGAGAAACATGAGAACTTCCACTCATGATTTAAAGCCTCGGAAACCCTGTACAGAGTCGCTATGAATCAGGACCAACTTAACAGCAAAAATAACACACTAAGAAAGTCACCTTGATGTCACAATGGTTAAGTGCTTGTCTGCCAATGGAAAGGTCGGCAGTTCAAACCCAGTAAGTGATTCCATAGGAGGAAAGACTTGGTGATCTGCTCTCATAAACTCTAATGGGGTAGTTCTATTATGTCCCTAGAGTCACTATGAGTTAGAATTGACACGATGGCACATAATAAAAACTAAGACCCTACATACCCACCGGGCCCTCTGTGCTGCGTCACATTCAACATTGCTTCTGCATGTCCCTATTTAGTGTCTTCTCCCACCTTCCACAGCAACTGGTCTCATCCCTCACTCAAATCCCTTTCAATCCTCTTTGCTGCAACAATTTTGTCTTCTGCTTCAAATGGAAAATTAAGGCAAACGAGCCCAACATCCATACACCCCACACCTACACATTTACGTATATTTGCACATATTCTTTCCTTTTTCCCTTCTGACAAGAGATGAATCGTCCTTCTCTGGTTAAAGTCTAAAATGAGTTCCTTTTAGATCCCTTATTCTAGAGATACTTGCACAGAACCCAAATAAAATAAAAGTGACTCAGATTTGGGCAGTTTGCGTCTTTTGGGTTAACTTCTTATTAATATATATCTATAGTTTCTTCCTTTCTCCATGTATAGTTTCTTCTCTCTCCCAGGCATCCTGGTGTGGTGTTGTGAGCTAATGCGCCAGACGGCAAAGCTGTTTGAACTGCAAGGTCGGTGGTTCAAGCTCACCAGCCATTCCTTGGAAACCCTGTACAGGGTTGCTATGGGTCAGAACTGGACAAATACACACTAAAAGAGGAGTGTGGTGGCCCCATACGATAAGCACTGGACCATGGCACTTAACAATAGTTTCTTCCTTTCTCCATGTAAAGTCTCTCTCCCGTGAAAGTCCCTCCCTTTACCCTGTATTTATAAGTTACTTCTCTATCTTACCTGTTTGTTGTTTTGTTTTTTACAACTAAGTTTATAATCCTGTAAAAGTTCCAAGCCTTCCAACCCCACTTCACCTCCAATTTATTTCTAAGCCTTTTGTTCTGCTGAAACTATTTTTCCAAGTTACTATGTAAATGGACATGTCTCTGTCCTTGTCTTATTTCACCTCTCCATGACATCTGACACTGCTGTCCATTCCTCCCTTCTTGAAACAACTCCCTTGGCTTGTGACCCTTCTCTCCTGACCCTGTGAAGGGTTTTCTTTGGCAATCTCTTCTTAGTCTTCTTTTCCTCCACCACCTCCTTAAATGCTGCACTATCCCTTGGGATTGTTGAGCTCTAAGGTACCTTAAATGTGTTTTAAACAAAACTCATCTCTTCCCCCAAAATGATTTTTCATGTCATCACCATCTCTCCTCACCCTAGTCAGACACCTAGGACTCATGTCTAATGCTTTTCACTCCCTCAAACACCAAACGTACTAAGAACTTTACAAATCAACATCCCGTTATTTATCTTTAGATGCCATCCCCTTTCCAGTCTTGTGCCTGGACTTTTTTTTTCTTTAACTTTTCATTGTGAATTGAGTGAAGGTTTACAGAGATCATCAGTTTTACAGTCAACAAATCCTACACTTTGTTTCATCTCAATGATTGCAATCCCACTTCCTCCCTATGATTCCTATTTCCGTTCCACACCCTCTTTTCCATGGGTTCTCAATTTTGTCCTTAGGTAAATGTTGTGCTTTTGATATTGAATGAGTGACCATTCCATGGTGAGCATACCTTGCTAGTATCGTTGTTCCTCCCTAGATACCCATATACTTACCGCTTGGCTGAAAACTGGGTCATGAGTATGAGTTCCATTCCAGACCTGAAGGTTGGTCGAGGGCCATAATCTTGGGTTCCTCCAGTCTCTTTGTGACCAGTAAGCCCAGCCTTTTTTTAAAAAAAATAATTTTGAATTTGTTTCACGTTTTCTGCCACTCAGACCTTTTCATGTGATTCCTTTCAGAGCAGTCAGTTGTGCTTAGCCTTTTACAGTATTCCAGTCACCCTCCAAAATGATGCCTGAGCAGTCTTTCTAAAAGAACATTTCATATGTGTCATAGTGTGAGTTGTGTCCCCCCGCAAAATATGTCCCCTTGGCTGGGTCATGATTCTCAGTGGTTTGGCAGTTATATAATGATGTAATGTGGCACTTATGTGATGATCCCTCTTGCTGTGATCTGTTGTCATAAACACACAGGATTAGGGGCGAGCTGCAATACACTTAGTCATCACAATTGTGATCCAACATAAAGGAGTTTCCCAGGGGTGTGACCTACAACACCTTTTATCTTACATGAGATAAAAGGAGAAGTGAACAGAGAAAGAGGGGCCTACTACCACCAAGAAACAAGAGCCAGGAATGGAGTGTGTTCTTTGGACCTGGGGTCCCTACACTGTGAAGCTCCTACATACAGGGAAAGATGGATATCAAGACACATTGTGATCTCCAAGGAATGACGAGCCAGCAGACACTGAAAGGAAACAAGGACCAGTATCCAAAGCCAGTGTTTAGAATTTGGACATCTAGCCTCCTAAACTGTGAAAGAATAAATTTCTGTTTGTTAAAATCATCTATTTGTGGTATTTCTGTTATAGCAGCACTAGAGAACTAAGAGGAACTCTGGTAGTGTGGTTATGGGTTGGGCTGCTAACCTCAAGGTCAGCAGTTCGAAACTACCAGCTGTTCCACGGGAGAAAAATGAGGCTCTCTGATACGGTAAAAATTTACAGCCCAGGAAACCCTATGCAGGGTCATGACTATACAGCACACCACCATCACCACCAGATAACTAAGACAATATGTTAAAATCCCTTAAGGGGTCTCCAGTGCCATGGGAACCAACTTTATTGTTGTTGTTAAGTCATTGGACTAGTAATTCAGACAGTTCAAACAGACCTTGCAGTCCACATTATCTGCACTATCCCACAGCGTCACACCAGGACTTCTTAAGTCTTGCTCCTTGCATTTCCGAGAAATGGGCTTTATTTCTTGTTTATATACCTTTGTACTATTAACTTATAGCCCTGAGCTCCACCCAACCTTTGATACCAACTCAGAATCTTGGTTATTTTTGAAGCCTTCCCTGATCAGATGTACTTCCTGTGTATTGCCTCATACACAGCTCTAATAACACTTTATCTCTCATTGCAACTTTCTCCTTTGGTCAGTCAGTGCTATTAAACTCCTGAATTCCTTGAGGCACGAACTATCTTATCCTCTGTTTCAAGCAAAGGAGAAATTAGCACCTAGAACAGTATGTTGTTGTTGTTAAGTGCCGTCGAGTCGGTTCCGACCCATAGCGACCCTGTACAGGGTTTCCGAGGGTGTAAATCTTTACAGGAGTAGAAAGCCTCATCTTTCTCCCGCGGAGCGGCTGGTAGTTTCCAACCACTGACCTTAAGGTTTGCAGCCCGATTTGTAACCACTACGCTACCAGAACAGTATAGGCACATGAAAAAAAAACAACAAAAAAACCCCATTGAGTCAATTAAGACTCATAGCAACCCAAAGAGAACTATTCTTTAGGGTTCGTATTTTTACCGGGGCAGCCTCATCTTTCTCCCACAGAATGGCTGGTGCGTTTGAACTGCCGACAATTCAGTCAGCAGCCCAACACTCAGTGCACTGAGCCACCAGCACAAGTGTTGCAGACTGGCACATTAACCAACAGCGCCGCACCAGGACTCCATATAGCACAATTTGTTGTTGTTGTTGAGTGCCGTCGAGTCGATTCCGACCCTTAGCGACCCTGTATAGGGCTTCCAAGGATCAGCTGGTGAGCTTGAACTGCCAACCTGGCAGTTCAAAGGGCTGGCGCATTAACCCACAGCGCCACATCAGGACTCCATATAGCACTAGTTGTTGTTAAGTGCCGTGGAGTCGGTTCCAATATATAGCACGAGTAGGTAGGTGCCCTATAATTATTTGAATGACGGATGAAAACGGCACAGCGGGGCCAGGGGTAAACATTTCGCATTTCCAGTGTCTGCCCCTACCCAGTCCTGGCTTCAGAAAAATGTTTTAGAGTTAGGTTCAGGCCCGAGGTTACTCATTAGAAATTAAGCAAAATCAGAAAGCGGTGACTTTGCAGCAAAGAATAGCCCGACCTGGGGGGTGAGTCAGACCAGCCCTACCAGCATCCCCGTAGTTTCGATGACGGGTCAGTGTCTCCCAGGGTGCTGGTCGCCTTCCTGAGACTGTCTACCACGTGCTGCTCACTACTTCTGAAGAGCCAACCCACCTCTCGGTGATCAAACTGTCGGGCTGCGAAAGGGGGCGGAGTCAGCTTCGGTACGCCCCGCCCGCGCGCCTGCGGGCCAGTCTCCGGTCACGTGACGGCGGCGCAGGTGAGCACCGCTTCCGGGGTCGGACACCCGGATAGTGGCCGTCTCAGTCTCCTACTCTGTCGGCTGCGCCGGAGATTATGGCGTCCTCTTCGGCCCCGCCGGCCACAGTACCAGCGGCAACAGCAGGCCCCGGCCCGGGTTTTGGCTTCGCTTCCAAAACCAAGAAGAAGCATTTCGTGCAGCAGAAGGTGAAGGTGTTCAGAGCAGCCGACCCGCTGGTGGGCGTGTTCCTGTGGGGCGTAGCCCACTCGGTGAGACCCGGCTCCAGCCCCTTGCAACCTTACCCGAACCCCTCAGCTCCTTTCCCTGGGGTTTCCAGGACCCCGCTCCGGAACCCCTTGTGCTGTCCTGGTCCCTGCCCACCACTCCCCAGGTTCTCCTATAGACCTGTTTCTCGCTGTAGACTTTTATTGTCTCCCCCTCCGCCCTTTACTCCTCCACTCTCCTGCCGTCTTCCCCACTTGAAATCCAGCCTCAGCTCCAGGCCACGAGACCGACCTGGACCGGGCTCCAGCGGGGAGGACATTGGGGGGAGTGGCTCTTCTGGATTATTGGTGGTGGGGTCTCTGGTGTGTGTGTGTGAGTTTGTATGTGTGTGTGTGTGTGTGCTATAGGTAGCTGGACAAGGAGGATCGTTCACTTTCCTTTCCACCTTATTTTCCAGCCGCAGTCCTTGACTTTGGAACCCTGGCTTTGTCTGGGGGAAGCTCCAGACTCCCTGGATCTTTTAATCCTGCTTGTTCCTACTTTTCCTTTCCAGAGGTACATCATTTCAGAAAGGCTGCTCCACCCCTGCCTTGAGCCTAGTGGATGCATTCTTTTAGGGTTTCTTTATATGCCTTTGGCCTTAACTGCATCCCCATTGCTGTCTGGAGGGTTGGTATTAGATGGAAGGCAGTGATTATGGAAATACTGTCGTGGTGGACTTTAGAAACAGGGACTTTGCTGTAGAGGGTACGGCCTGGAGTCAAGAGGAGGCCACGCAGGCCAGTGCATCTTCTTTCCTGAGGATACCGCAGGTGAAGCAAGCACAGCCATTCTCCCCACCCCACAAATCAGGAGTGTAAGAAATCAGTGACCTTGAATGGGACAGGCAGTATTTTAGAAATCAGCTTCCTTGAATTGTTACAGTCATGGCAGAATTGTGTAGGTGGACGGGATGAGGAGGAATACAATGTCTGTCACATTCTTAATTTTTGGTTTAGAATGTTGTTTCGAGCCAGTCCCGCTACCTTTTGTATTTGTGGCTCTGTAACGAGTCCTGGTGTGGCGCTGAGGGTTAATGCACCAGACTGACCGCCAACCTTGCGGTTCAAGCTCACCAGCTGCTCCTTGGAAACCCTATACAGGGTCGCTATGGGTCGGAACCAACTCGACGGCACTTAACAACAACAACAACAAGGACTACTCCCAGCTACCTGGGGATAATGTCTTAATAGTTGAGTGTCCAGTGTGAGGTACTTGGTATGGGCAGGACTGATGGAGGTAGTACGGGTGCCTCGCATATGTTCCTTCCAGATGACTCATCTCTATCTTGGAGACACTTAACTGGGAGGATTTTCCTCTGATAGGGATTGGAGGAGTTACATGGAAGACTTGCCTCAGGTTCCATAGGTATATATATATACTTTAGGCCCAACACCCCACCCTCCAGCCAACACACATTTACTTAAAAGTATCTGGAATGGAGAAATTCCTTGAACATATGTCTTGATGATTCAGCTTGCTTAACAGCAGGTGGGGAGGAGGGAGCAGGAAGAGCTATAGCTGAATCTTAGGCTGTTTTTTTTTTTTCCCCTCTGGAATAATATGTTCTGTCCTCATTTTTCTGCTGAGAATGGGAGGGGTTGGGTTGCACTGCAGTGTATAGGATTTAGGTTAGAATGCACTTGATAACCTCTATCAGATGATCTACTAAGGATAGGTTAGGCATTTGCTTATTCCATTAATGACCACTTAAAAAGAGCACTGTGTGCCAAACATTGTGCTAGCTAGGCACCTGAGAGATGCCGAGGACTGTAACAGGCACTTGCCCTTGAAGAGCTCATAGTCTAGGTGGGGGAAACTTACGTAAACTAGTGACTGAAGACATGTGATACATGCACTAGTAAAGGCGAGTGAAAGGTACTGTGGCAACACCAAGAAAGCACATCCTGGGATTTTTTTAGTACAAGAGCTCCCTTTTCGTCTTGAACAGACTGCAGCCTAGGAGCTGAGGAGAGCATGTGAAGCATCCTTTGAGGTATTGAATAGCTTGGCTTTAGTGAACAGGCGCCTAATGAGCTCATATCCTCTGCCTGCCTGTGTTCCCTCTCAAGTCATCTGCTCTTTCTTTACCTTACACATAAGCAGGTGGGAACCTACTGCAGAGAACTGGTCAGAATTGGGCTGGATGAACTGATCCTTATTTGTATTTGTAAGGAGCTTTTTCTGACAGCTCATCCCTTTTTGCTGTGTTGCCCTCAGAGTCCCATTAACTATCTTGTGCACTTTATAAATGTCTTTAAAAAAAAATGGAGCAGGGAACTGTTTGTCTTGAGTGTCTTGAGTCTGCTTGAGTCTTGAGGGTGTTTTTTCCTTAGAATTTGTCACAGCTTTAAAAATAGATGTGAGTTGCTTACAGGGTTTGCCTAATATAAAATGACTGTTGTGAGCATGAAGTTCCATGGAGGTGAGGGTGTGAGGGGCTGTGTGTGAGTGTGGCTTACTGCATTCCTGCTTGGGCAGCAGAAGGGATTTAGACACATTCTGTCACTTCTGTCAAGCATATGCATAGCTGGTGTTGTAAAAGAATGAGGTTTGAATTGCCCTTTCCTGACTCCTGCCCAGACATGGATCTGAGTGGCTCTCTATACCCTTACTCACCGCCTCCCTATTCACATTTTGCCATATCAGATCAATGAACTCAGCCAGGTGCCTCTTCCAGTGATGCTGCTTCCAGATGACTTTAAAGCCAGCTCCAAGATCAAAGTCAACAATCACCTTTTCCACAGGTCAGTGTGGATCCCTGCCTTTCCTCCCTATGTCAGCCTTTCTAGAAAAGAGTAATACTTAAACTTAAAAGTTAAGATTAAACTTTTAAAGACTTTTCTATTTAGAAGGCAACTTACAAGTGGTGTTATCTAAGCTGCTTTCCAATGCAAAAATTCAGGTTTGTCCAAAGAAACTATTAAAATAATCTCCAGTGTTTCCTAGACTCTTTTATTGGTCAGTGCTACTTGTCTATGGATTGTTGGTGTAGCGCTGTAGGATAAACACTTGACCACAAGGTTGGTTGGACCTAAAGATTTTCGGTTAAAACTCACCAAACTGCTCCACAGAAACCCTGTACAGGGTCACTATCAGTCGGAACTGACTCAATAGCATTTAACAACAACAGTAACTTTTCCTTTAGTTTAGCAACTTCATAGAGTAAATATTCCAGGTGCCATTACCATTAGCTTCTGATAGGGACTGCCTGAAAGAAATGCCCGAGTCCTTTGAGCCTTCCTCCTAATGCTAGAAGATGCCATTTGAAACAGTGACACCTTTTGCCAACTTTGGATGCCTTTAACTTGTTGTTTGGATGAGTGATAGACCCTGGCCCTACTTACCATTTAGGCAGGTCACTCACCCAACCTGAGCCACAGTTTCCTCTTCTATAAAATTGGAATAATATGCTTTTAAAGGATCACACAGATGTGTGAAAATGCTTTATCAAACGTCAAGTCCTATATAAATATAGTATTGTTACTTTGATTATTTCCTTATCTTTTTCAGGGAAAATCTGCCCAGTCATTTCAAGTTTAAGGAGTATTGTCCCCAGGTCTTCAGGAACCTCCGTGATCGATTTGGCATTGATGACCAGGATTATTTGGTGAGGGTCCATTATGGGGTAAGGGTAGTTCTTTTGACAGAGCAATTGAGGAGTCGTTGGGACAGTCATGCTTGAAGAGATGAGAGCCTTGGCAAGTATGATTCTTTACCTTTAAATTGCAGTCACAGACAGATTAAAAAATCTGATGATAAAATGTGGGTGCACTCAAGTTTTTCACTGACTTTCTTACAATCCATATAACATCAGGTATAGAGCCTCTGGCTCAACCTCCTACTCTAGGACTTACCCATTTTCAGATGTATTCAGTTGACTGTTATCCTATGACTTGCATCTCTATATGAAGTAGGAGTAGAAGATCCTCTGGCGTATTCTCTGTCCCCAGGTGTCCCTTACCCGCAGTCCCCCAAGTGAAAGTGAAGGCAGTGATGGTCGCTTCCTTATCTCCTACGATCGGACTCTGGTCATCAAAGAAGTATCTAGCGAGGACATTGCCGACATGCATAGCAACCTCTCCAACTACCACCAGGTCAGGCCTCTCTCTCCTCGTTCTTTCCCTCGCCTTCCTACTCATAGCCGAACTGCCAGAGTACATAGAAAGAATTCCTATTGCTTTTCTTCCTTACAGCCCTTTTGCTCTCCAAGAAGCACTTGACATCATGCTTTTTAAAATTAGGAATTGTGCCCAAAAAGGCACGTATGTCCCTAGTTGTACTGGGCTAAATAGAATAACCCTTCTTGTCTGGAACTTAACATTCTATCTAAAACCAGTGCTGTGGATGGATATGTAAATGTATCAATATGTGTATTGTTGTTGTTGTTAAGTGCCGTGGAGTCGGTTCCGACTCATAGTGACCCTGCACAGGGTTTCCGAGGCTGTAAATCTTTACGGGAGCAGAACGCCTCATCTTTCTCCCGCAGAACCACTGGTAGTTTCAAACTGCTGACCTTATGTTTCACAGTCCGATTCGTAACCACTATGCTACCAGAGTATACGCTACCAGAGTATAAACTAGAAGCGAAGTCAGAATCAGGTGAAGTGTTAACACCAAATATAGTCTCAGGAATAAATGCAATTTGAAGAAAAAACAGGGTAAGTACACAATGGGGAAAAATTGGAAGTGAGAAGCCATAATAATACCTAGTCCCAAATGGGCTCAAGGAAGCCATTCAGTCTGAATATATTAGCTTAAATGTGGAGTTTATGGAATGCTTTGGTGATAAATGTACTGCCTGGATGTGTTTCTACTGATGAGCGATCTCACCAAAATCAATGAACAAGAAACATGAGGAATAAACAAAAGACTCTAAAAGGATTCTTTTGTTTATACGCCAAATATTGAATGTCTACTATTACTACGGACTCCTTGTGTGGCACTATAGGATCAGAACTGGACTGTGAACCACAAGGTCAACAGTTCAGACCCACCAGCTGCTTCTCAAAACCTTATACAGGGTCACTATGAGTCAGAACCGACTCAACACCAATTAACAATAACAACAACGATTACTAAGGCCTGTGTTAGGCAGTAGAGAAAGAAGTGAATGAAACAGTTATGGCCCTCAATGATCTCATGGTCTAGCGGCAAAGAAAACCAGCATTAGCGCATGGTGTGTGGTGTTTAATATAGGAGTGTGTAGAATTCTTTGGAGGAGCAAAGAAAGAGCGTCCCTACTCATCTGGAGAAAGAGGTGCAGTTGGGAGGCTTAAAAACTGTTTTTAAAACTGTTTTTAAAACTCTAAATAGGGAATGATTATTGAAGGATTAGTAGAAGTTAACCATTGTACAAAATGGAAGAGAACATTCTAGACAGAGGAAAACAGTTCTTGTAAAGGCACAGAGCTATGAGAGAGCTTGGTGTCAGGGAACTACAAAAAATTCATTGTGACTAGGATATGGTATTGTGAAAAAATAGGCAAGAATCAGATCATGATGGGGCCACCCAAAGTTAGGGGTTGATCCCAAAGGTGATTTTCAGGAAAGAGATTTCTGTGTGATTGGCAGGTATCTTTGTGACAACATTTTAGATTATGGATTGGGGTGGGGGATACTGAACATGGAGACTCCACTTGTTTTTAAGTGCCATTGAGTCAGTGACCCTATATTGGGTCTCTGAGGAGCAGCTGGTGAGTTTGAACCACTGACTGGCAGTTCAAAGTGACCTTGCAGTCCAGAGCGTAGTCCTATAGTGCCACACCAGAACTCCAAATTATAATAGTCTAGGTGAGATATGATGGGAATCTGGGGAAGCCAGGACATTCAAGATGGAAAAGATGGAAGAATTGTGGGTACTAAGGCCAAGAGGAGGTAGAGAAGCCTCCAAATTCTTGATTAGTCATAACAGGGGACCTGTCCACCAACAATTGGGAAACAAAAGGAACAGACTTCTAGAGGAAGACATTTCTGATTCACACCTATTAGTTTTGAGGTTTCTGCAGTTCCTCCCGATGAATGCCCTGTAAGTAGAAGGGGAGTGCGTGGAGTGAAATGAAAAGATGGTTGAGGACAACTGTCAGGACCAAGTGGAGAAAAGATCCTATAAAGGAGACTAAGAGTAAGCAGATGCTTTTAATGATTTATGCCTTTAGTCCATAAAAGACTTGAGGACAGAGAGGTGGAGAATCGGAAATGCAGTATCATGGACGTTGAGGGTGAAGAGTTTTAGGAGGGGACTGGTCAACAGTATCACATGCCACACAGAGTGGAACTGTGACAGTGACTAAAAAGTACTCAGTAATTGTGCCAGTTGATGGGTTGGGGGAGCAGTAGATTCATTTCAGAGAAAAAAATGAGGCTACAAATTTTATTTCAGTGACCTGAGTTGTAAATGAGAGGTAAGAAGTGGAGACATGGATTAGTCACTACTTTCTTGAGAAGGGTGGCTGTGAAGGGAAGAAGGCAGCAATGCTTAGAGGTGGTAGTACTGAAAGAGAAACTTTTAAAAATCAAATTATATGTTATTACACATTAGACAGTTTGACTATGAGAGTATAGCCCAAGAAACACAATCTAGAAAAAATCATTTGGTAGAAAACCAGATATAAATTCTAATCCTGCTTTCTGGACTGCTGGTCAATCACTTGCATACTGAGAAGAGTGATTTACGAGTTGGGCTGCTAACCTCAAGGTCAGCCGTTCAAAACTACCAGTTTTTCCACAGGAGAAAGATGCGGCTTTCTGCTCCCTCGGAAGCCCTATACAGGAGTCTCTATGAGCAGGAACTGATTCCTCAGCATCTAACCAACCAGCCATGATAAAGATACTACTACTTATTTTGCCTGTCTCATTGATAAAGATGAAGTGTGAGAAGGCACTTTAAAATTGAGACTATCAAAATAGGATAAATCCAAGGAGATGTGATTCAGAAATAGCATGGATAGTCAGGACATCTTTAGGAAATCCCTACCACTTCAGACCTTATAATCTCTATTTGAGTCTTCTGTCCCTCTTTGGTATGGTAGTGTTTGAATTCCCATCCCTGAGTGGAGTTTGTTCATCCCTGAATGGTTTGTTCATCTGCTGCTTACCCTTTCCCTATTCTTTTCTCCCTTTCCACCCCAGTACATTGTGAAGTGCCATGGCAACACACTATTGCCCCAGTTCCTAGGGATGTACCGAGTCAGTGTGGACAATGAAGACTGCTACATGCTTGTGATGCGCAATATGTTTAGCCACCGTCTTCCTGTGCACAGGAAGTATGACCTGAAGGTAAGGATCAGATAACTAGAACTCAAGGGGAGACTCTTGATGACCTGAGAATGGGGGCAGGTCTGGGAGGGTATTGGAAGTTTCCGTTTAAAGGAAAGAAGCCCATGGGTTTGAGTACTTGTCTTAGGAACTGGGTCCTGTTCTTTCAGCCACTTCTGCTCACATGGTCTTTGGTTCTCTCAACAGGGTTCCCTAGTGTCACGGGAAGCCAGCGATAAGGAAAAGGTGATACTAATTGTAGGCTACAGGGTGAGGGATGGGGGATAGCAGATGAAATGGATTTTCATAGGATGAAGACATCATTCTCCTTAAAGGGGTAGGAATCAGCAGCAGTATATTTTTATCTTAAACCACTGGAAAGAAGAGAGATGTAGACTCCTACTGATCCAGGGATTGTTTGGAAGGGACCAAAGGGAACAGCTGCTTTGTTATGGGCATGGGTTACTCCATATGAAGAGTTTGGGGATGGGTGAAGATGCCAGTCTGTAAGAGGGAAATGCTTATCATCCATCTCTCATTCTGGAGTCTATTTTTCAAGCCACTGTTTTTGCTTAAGAAGAAAAAAAGTCAGCATGGAAGAACTTGACTGAAAACCATAAACAGAGAGCAGTGGGTCGTGATTCAGTTTACAATTGCAATGACTGATGGGTCATTCCAATAGGAAGCCATTAGAGGTGAGAACAGACTCTGGAGCAGCATCATAGTATGGAGTCAAATGTGAGATGAGCTGTGAGATCTCTCCCCTGGAAGCCTCTGAGTTAGAGAAGAGAGTTCTAGATGAGAAGGCAAGGTTCTCTGACACCTTGGGAAAGGTATGTATTCCAAGACATCCCTTTCTGTATTCTCAGGTTAAAGAATTGCCCACCCTTAAAGATATGGACTTTCTCAACAAGAATCAGAAAGTTTATATTGGTGAAGAAGAGAAGAAAGTATTTCTGGAGAAGCTAAAGAGAGATGTGGAGGTGATGGAATGGGGTATTCTGGGAAATGGCTTTATTTCCTTTTTTTAAAATTTGCTTCCCAAGGCCAGAAAGATGTTCTTTCCTTCCACAGTATGAGGGAGTTCCTCACCTTCCCTTTATTCTTCTGGTCCTTTGCATAAAGGGGAGTTGGGTTTGAGATGTGGAAAAACCCCAGAGTTGACCCATGGAGCTGGTGGCTGAAAGGAGCTAAAAGGAAGCTCTTAGATACTAGGACATGTAGGCCCTAAAGGATGGAGATATACCCATAACTCTCACTTTTATACTTCTGTTCCCTAGGAAGGCCCCAGAAATTCAAGGGTGGGAGATATAAGGGTGGTACCTGGGAGTGGGGAGGAAGACCTGGGGTGTCTGATTGGTCAGTGGGGTCTCAGTTCCTAGTACAGCTGAAGATCATGGACTACAGCCTTCTACTGGGCATCCACGACATCATCCGGGGCTCTGAACCAGAGGAGGAGGGACCTGCCCGGGAGGAGGAGGCAGAGGGGGAGGGAGACTGTGGCATGACTGGACCTCCTGCTCTGGTGGGCTCCTATGGCACCTCCCCTGAGGGCATCGGCGGCTACATCCATTCCCATCGGCCTTTGGGCCCTGGAGAGTTTGAGTCCTTCATTGATGTCTATGCCATCCGGAGTGCTGAGGGTGAGATCCTGGAAATTTTAAGGGTGGGCAGGGTTGTGAGCAGAGGGTGGTTAGCTTTTCAAAAATGATTTGTTGGCTCCTGGGGGAAGGGAATGGGAACTATACCTGCTCTTCATTATTGGTCTTTGTTGCTAGGGGCCCCCCAGAAGGAGGTGTATTTCATGGGTCTCATTGATATCCTGACACAGTATGATGCCAAGAAGAAAGCAGCTCATGCAGCCAAAACTGTCAAGCATGGGGTGAGAGTTCCCCCAAATCCTATTCTGTACCATCCTCCCCTATCAGGAACCACTGGATTGAATTCTATGGGAAGAGCGAGAGCAATGGTGTTGTAGCAGGATGAAAGGTTGGGTAGGGAGAAGGGTGGTAGGATGGGCCTGACACATTGTTCCATACCTCCTCACAGGCTGGAGCAGAGATCTCTACTGTCCATCCTGAGCAGTATGCTAAGAGATTCCTGGATTTTATTACCAACATCTTTGCCTAAGAGACTGTCTGACTCCATGGTGACTACTGCTTTCTGTTCAAAGTGGTGGGGTCTGAGAGACTTGGAGGAATTCAGGATATATTGGCCAATACATCTTCTCTTCCTCCTTTGCTAAATTCAGGCTGCAGGCTCCTTCCATCCCAATAACCCCTTTTTGTTGAATTGGCCATCAGAAATACATTGTCCTTTCTTCCCTCTTTCCCTTTCCCAACAAGTCTGTTTGCTTCATTAGGGCGTTATTGTTGACTCTCTTAAGTGCCTTGATCTTTGTAAAATGTCCTGTTGTTGCTGTGAAAGTAAAGGAGCTGGGAGAAGGGGAGTGTTTTCTATCTTCAGAACTTGACTGGACAGATGAACCTGGCTCAAGCAACTACTCTGGATGCACTTTGCTGTGTGGGAAGAACTAAGTGTCTGAATTTTGCTGATAACTTTATTGAATTCACTAGCATGCTTTCGTCCCAGAAGGCCCTGGGATGGAGAACTTTCAAGATACAGGTGTGGGTGGAGTCATGTGTGCTTATGATGAAATACAGCCAATCTTGTACACAGAAGTAGGGTGGAGAGTGGTCAGCAGGCTGCCTCCTTATGGAGGTGGGACCTAAAAGGACTTTTGGAATCGGAGAGGATTTCTACCAAGGATTAACTACTCTCTATAATCTCTTCCCTTATCCCACTTGCACCTGCAGGAGCCCAGAGATGGCTAAAGCATTGATGCCTGAGTGAAGGTGTTTGACTATTAACTGTTCTTCACCAAAGCCTCATACCCCTTCTAGGACTGGAACCCTCTAGTGGGTTTGTGGTTTATTCCCAGCAGAAGGGAATTTCCCCACCTGGGTCAGTCCTGGTCATTTCAATACGGAGGTCTCAAGTGTGGGGAGCTCCCCTATTGTCTGGAGGTGTGTGCCTAACACACTTCTCTTCCCTCTGAAACCCTTTTCCAGTTGGGTTTGTCATCGTTCTGTTCTCTTGTCCCATCTTAGACTGCTGCTGTGTCACCCAGAGGACAGATGGCTTTCTCTGTCATCTTCACTCTCCACCCCCAGAGATAACTGAGTTGACATGTGACATTCTCAGAATGTACAGGAACCTGATGAGATGAGGTTGGTCCCCTCTCACAATGCCTTTGGGGCTAAGGCAACCATTATTGCTAGCCTTGAGGCTTCTAGATTTTTCTAACATAAAGATGGGCACCTGACCTGTGGAGATGCAAAGCTTCTTTGCTCTGTATCTGAATGGACTGATTTAAGAAGTCATAAGGGAGAATCCCTGTCTCTGCTCCCATCTCCAAAGGAAGAAAGAAGAATCCAGAGTTAGGGGTTGGAACCCCTATAATATCTTCCCATCGGGCCTGATGGATCTTTTTCATTCCAACCTTCTACCTTCATTCCGACTCGATGGCACCTGACAACAACCTTTCCCTTGTTGAATGCAATAAAACTCCATGACACCAGCAACTGTTATTCCTTAGAAATGAATTTTCTGACCATGTGGCTGATGTATCATGGGCAGTATGGTCTTCATTTGTTGCTTCTGTTTTTCATCTTGTGTTACTAATTAATAAAGATCTTATGTATTTAATTCTATGGCTATCACAATATAGAAAATAAATTATTTAATCCAGATTCCTTCACAGGAAAGTAGTTGTTTTTTTTTTTTTTTTACCACCACTACTTCTGAGGAAATGTGCTTAGGTGTGCAAAGACCAGATGAATTTTTGCCTTGATGGTATGGGCTCCCTAATTAAGGATGTGGTTTTCTAGACTGGGATGGCTGGCAAATTAAAATGTAGGGGCCATTGATTGTATGAGGATGGAAAATAATTTTTTTAACTTATTGGCATGGATTTCAGCTGTAGTACAAGCCATAAAAAATGCACGGTGGGGCCCTGGGCTGGGGGATGGGTGCTCTGGGTTTGTTCACACTCAAACAGCCCTGTCAAGGTGAGTGGGCCTCAGTTCCACAAGCTGAAAGAAACTGCATTTGGAGTTCCCCAGGCTTCCTGAGAAAGATGATCTCTGCCTGGAAGGGTCCTGGGAAAGTGAAGGAGAAAGTGACCATCCCCAGCACACCCACACCGCCCTTCTCCCCCACCCCCCCAAGGGAGAAGGGGATGGATGTACTGAGATTTGCCAGTCTGGGAGTTACAGTACTTCTTGGCTGGAGGAGAAACCTGACTTGATGTGGCCCCAGGGAAGTAAATTGGACTGGGGGTGGAGCCTTTGCTGTGGGAAGTAGAGCAGAGCTTTTTTTTTTTTTTTCCCATAAGAGTTTTTAACTCTATTTGAACCATAGATTTGAGGCCACCAAGACCAGAAGCCATTTTTTAAAATCTGTTCACTTCCCATTCTGCTTCAGCCTCAGTATACCCACTTGTGAAAAGAGAAAAATCAGAGGCACTTACCAATACTCAGCCGGGAGCAGGTTGTGGAGGGTCACAGAAGGTAACAATCTAGGAAGAGGCAGGAGATGAGGGAGCGACTGAAATAGTTCAGTACTGGGATTTGTTTATTTTTTAGGACCAATGCTTTTCTTTTTACTATGATTCTTTTTCTCATCCCACATTGTTCCTCAAATGCACTTCTGGCATAAGGATTTCAGAACCCTCCCCTCCCATTCCTGTATACCTAAACCGACGCTCCCCACCCACCCATCCACCACCAGCTCTGAGATGCTGCTGTGCGGCTGGCTGGCTGGGATAGAAAAGGGAGAGGGCCCCTCCCAGGCGGAGGAAAAGAGAAGGGTAGCGGCGGGTGGCTCTAAGGGATTTAACCTCCTACCCTCAGTTACACGACGCTACCCCACCCTCCAAAGACTGGGACAGTGCCTCCATTTTTGTTTTGGGGCGGAGGGACAGGGGCTTTTGGATCCAAACGGTCAAAGGAGACAGTGATTATCACCTGTGAAGGGGATGGGGGTGCAGTCCTCCCTCCTTTTTCTGTCTCACCCCCTGCAACCCTCCCCACCTTTTTGGGGTCTCCCCCCCCTTGTTGCTAAGGCCCGGACCGTCATCCCAGCAACAGCCTCAGTCATGTGACCGGCAATGGCGGCGCTGACGAGAGGTAGGTGAGCCCGGCGTCCCTCACACCCACCGCGCGCCCCCCGGACCCTGCTCGCGCCCCCATGCTCCCCCACTCCGCTACCCCTGCGCCACCTCCTTTGCCCCTTGCAACGCGCGCGGCTCTGTGGGGGGGCTCCTCCATGCCCCATCTTTGCCCTTTACACCATCCTCTAGCCTTGGCCTCCATTTGGGGGTCCTGGAGGCCAGGATCAGGCGACCTGTATCCCCACCCAGCGGAGGGTCTCTGGGGCCTCCGGAGAGAGGGGGATGTATAGAGCTGATTCCCGGCTGGGTCATGCCGGAGGCCGTGGGGGGAGGGGTGAAGTTGCCTCAGTGGATGCCCCCTGGGACCCTTGCCCTTTTTGGCTGCCCATGCATCTAGCATCTTTCTGGAGGGAGGAATTGACCCAGCGTCTGGCCTGGGCTGCCCCAGAGGAATAAAATATCCAGCATAAACTGTGGCCCCGCCTCCCTTTTCTATGCCAGCAGGACTTGGAGCTAGGACACCTAGGTCCTGAGGCCTCTCTGATGGAAGGGGATGGGTTTCCACTCTAGACAGTGGGGGCTGAGGTCCCAGGGCTCAAGTTTCACTCTCTGAGCCTCGAGGTGAATCTCGTCTTGAGGGGACTATGATTGAAGCACAGACAGCCGCTCCCCTTTCCATCAGTCAAGGAATTGAGGTCACGTTAATGGTCCCGCTTTCCATTGGAGCTGCATTTGGAGAGGTGGGACGGCCTTGTAACTGAATATGATGAGTCTCTGGGCTTCCATCAGGCCCCTCCAGTGGAGGCCCTGTGTGAGCCCAGCCCTCCTAAATGCAGACTTGGGAGCTAACAGGCTAGGCGGGGAGTGCTGGGTCTAAAAGGTGACACTGAGAACTTTGTTATTGCAGAGGTTGTGGCCACTTTGTCCACATTCCTAACAGACTTCACTAGAAGGGGCTGAGGTTAGGGCTAGCAGCAGGGGTTAGATGATTGAGGAATGTGAAGCCAGGGTGAGAAATTGGGGAGCAGAGAAAACATTCCTGTCTGTGTGATCTGAGACAGGTGGCAAGAAAGACAGTGTGTGTAGGCTTTTCCCTAGGAGACTCACTACACTACCTGGGCCTCAGAGCTGAGCAAGAAAAGACAGAAGCTTAGCATAAGTCCCTTCCTTACCAACTTTGGGAGGGGCTATGCATGAAGTTCTGCAGGGGAGAAGGAGAGGAAATGGAAGAGGAGTTTTGTTTCTGGACTGGCTAGAGAAAATATAACATTTGTCATCATAACTCTTTACTCTCCTTAGTCCTGGTCAGTAGAGTGTGGAAATAGAGTGATTTCTGCTGTCACCATCGTCCATGGGCTTTCCAGGTATTTGCCCCAAGGGAACTCAACTTTCATCCTTAAATTATTTCCCTTCATTCCACATCCCAAGTAATCCCATGCCCAGTAACATATCCAGGTTCCTGTCTATTACATGGGCTGCTGGGTTGGGATATGTGGGAATTTGAGGGGAGCAGTTTCTCATTTTTCTTCATTTTCCTTTCCACCCTACCAGGTCATATAACCCACAAGTAGGGAGCAGGGAAAGAGAAGCCTGCATGCCAATTCTAAGCTCTTCAGGATCCAAGTGAGCAAAAGGAGGGTTAAAATCTCTCCTTCTCCTTTAACATGCCCGTTTTTTTCACTCAGAGGGGGACAGGGGTAATTATTTCTATGATCTTGGGAGACATGTTAGGAGAACCTAGAATGATTGCTTGGCTAAAATGATAAAGTTATAGGAACTTTCTTGTTCGTCAGGGAGTGCTGGGGTTTGAAGATATGGGAAGATAGAATAGGAATTGAAGGGAGAGTGGGGTTTGGATTTGAGAGAATGGAGATAATCTAGGATTTGGAAGGAACCTGATATTTGTCAAGTGGGGACCCCCCCCACCCTGAGTCCCTTTCACCCTGGGGGCAGTGTCGTTCGTCCTGTCCAGAATGGCAGCCTGTGGAGGCACCTGCAAGAACAAAGTGACTGTCTCCAAGCCTGTATGGGACTTCCTGAGCAAGGAGACCCCAGCGCGGCTGGCCCGGCTACGGGAAGAACACCGTGTGTCCATCCTCATAGATGGCGAGACTTCTGACATCTATGTCCTCCAGCTCTCCCCACAAGGCCCGCCCCCAGCCCCTCCCAATGGGCTCTATCTGGCCCGGAAAGCTCTCAAGGGGCTGCTCAAAGAGGCAGAGAAAGAGTTGAAGAAAGCTCAGAGGCAGGGGGAGCTTATGGGCTGCCTGGCTTTGGGGGGTGGAGGGGAGCACCCTGAGCTGCACCGTCCAGGCCCACCCCCTCTCCGAGCAGCCCCACTCCTGCCCCCAGGGGCTCGGGGGATTCCCCCTCCTCCCCCTCCCCTACCTCCTCCTCTTCCTCCACGTCTTCGGGAGGAGGCAGAAGAGCCAGAGAGCACCTGTCCCATCTGTCTGGGGGAGATCCAGAATGCCAAGACATTGGAGAAGTGCCGGCACTCATTCTGCGAGGGCTGCATTACACGGGCCCTGCAGGTGAAGAAGGCCTGCCCAATGTGTGGCCGCTTCTACGGGCAGCTGGTGGGCAACCAGCCCCAGAATGGGCGGATGCTGGTCTCTAAGGACGCCACCCTCCTACTGCCCAGCTATGAGAAGTATGGCACCATTGTCATCCAGTATGTCTTCCCGCCCGGTGTCCAGGGGGTAAGAAGACCACAGCCTGCCCTTATCCTTTGGTTTTTCCCAAGCTTGTTCTCTGATCTAGAAAGACTGGGTGAGGGTGAGTGTGTTTGTTAGATGTGATACAGTCTTGCTGTTTCCCAGTTACGTCTTCCTACTCAGGGCCTTGGAGCTAGGGGTCCCCCTGAGGCCCGGCTTTTTCATCCCCGTGACCCCAAGGCACACTTGAAACTTGGTATGATGAGCGAAAGGAATTGATTACTGTAATTTCCTTGATGAACATGGATGTTGACAAATGCTCTAGGCAGGAGTAAATTTTGTGGAATTCTGGCTGCTTAGGTGCAGGCAAGCATAGCAAGGTGGGATCATCTTTACAGACCTCTAGGCTGGAAGTGTTTACTCTGTTTCCAATTTATGGTTTATGAGACTAAAACCTTAATGCCAGTGGAAGGTAAAAACAGATAATGGTCAGAGGGCCTATAGGGGCCTTCCTGTTGGACAAAGAGTCATATCCAATTCTGGCTTGCAGAGGGATGAGTACTAGAAGTATGGAACAAGTTAGACAGTAGAAGAAGTAGGCAGGTGGGTAAGGGAAAGCTGAAAGAGAAATGATTCTTAGTCTTCACATTTCTGCTAAGTTATTTGGAGAGTAAGGACCTTCTTCCATCACTTATGACAATCCATTTGAAGCTGAATTGGGACTTGAGGGATTGAGACAGCAGAAAGAATCTCTTAACAATAAGGATTAAGTCCAGAAACAGACTCCATGGGAGGCCGTCAGCCTATTGCTGCCCTGTTAGAATTAGCTGGGCCAGGATGACCCTCCATTGGCATCAGGAGCCCTAAAATGTCCAGCTGCTCATTGCCCACTCTGCTTCCCCTTCCTCCCAGGCTGAACATCCAAACCCAGGCGTTCGGTATCCTGGCACCACACGGGTGGCCTACCTCCCTGATTGCCCTGAGGGCAACAAGGTGCTGACCCTGTTCCGAAAGGCATTTGACCAGCGTCTCACCTTCACTATCGGCACCTCCATGACCACAGGGAGACCGAATGTCATCACCTGGAACGACATCCACCACAAGACCAGCTGCACAGGGGGACCCCAGCTGTGCGACACACCTTCATTTTCTTTCCCTAGACTCCTGTTCCCTTGGCCAGGAGTACAACATCATCCCCCTTACTTGGGAGTCTCCAAACTGGAGAAGACCCATCACACATACAAAACTGTTCATTTATCTATCTCATCCCAGTTTCTCTTATATTCAACCTGGTCCTTTGTGCCCAGCTAAATCTACAAAAATAAGCAGAATTGGCCAAAGTTACTTTGAAGGTCCTCCCCCACCCTGAAGGGGAAGCTGGGAAGGATCTGAATGGGGCCTCCACTGAGTCACCCAGAATGAAGATGAGCATGGGGTAATATGAGCAAACTGGAACAGCTAACCCTGACATTCCTTTTTTGCTCTCAGGTTTGGGTACCCGGACCCCACCTACCTAACCCGGGTGCAAGAGGAACTGAGAGCCAAGGGTATCACAGACGACTGAAGGACATCCCCTTTGCCAAGGCCCCTGCTGTTGTCCTCCATTAGGACCCAATGGAAGCTCTGTTCTCCTCTTTTCCCCTGCCCCCCCACACCATACTAGTAGGGGACCTATGTGACTGGGAAGGGAGTTCAGAGGGGAAGGGGACAATCCTTCCCCTGTCTCCCATCTGCCAAGTGCATCAGTGTAGTGTGAGCCACACTCTCTTGGCAGAGGCTGATCTCCAGGGCTCTGCTCCCCAAGTCCTCCCCCCCCACCCTTGTACATACTGCCAGTTTCCCTGCCCGCTCCATTGCCCTTGGCTTTATCTGGTATGTACTGTGCTCCAGTGACAAAGCTGAGAAAGGACCTGGGTGGGGACGAGGGGCATCTCATGATATCCCCTTCCACCTCTGAACTTGAGCCGGCAGGGAGTGGGAATCTGCTGAGCCCCATGGAGCCGTCTTTGTGTTCATCAGATACAATTCTTCTACCTTTAACCTGTCCTTTCTGTGTCTACGTCTCTGTCAGTCTGTCTTTCTCCCGCTCTTCTCTGCCCCGCCCCCCATAAGGAGCCTCCTTATCCTGTTCTGGAATCACCACCAGACTGTAGCTTTTAATTTAATAAAAATAAAGTAAAATATGCAACTCTATGCCACACCCGTTTTGTTCTGTGGACCAGGGTGGTGTGGGGTGGGGAGCGGGGCCTGCTGAGAAGAGAAAGGGGAGTGATAGGGAAATCCCAGCGTTTCTGCTTCTGAGGGCCTGGGAAAATGGGATGTGTTTAGTAGCCTCTATAATAACATAGTGGAAACCCTAGTTCATTCTTTAGAAGCAGGAATAGCAGAGGTTTGTTGTTGAACTCAAGTTGTAGGGAAAGGAACAACCCTACCCCTCTAGCGAAGTTTGGCTGGGGTGGGAGTGGGGGCGGAGCCGGGCAGGGGGCGGATTCGGCAGCAGAAACTCCCCGGACGAACGCAGTCCTTACAGCCCCCCAGCTTCCGTGCCCCCTCGGCCCTGCAACTTGGAGCAAAGTAGGGGTCCAGCATGAAGCCCCCAGACCGCCCCGCCCCTGGCCGCACTGACCGGATACTGGGGGTTATGGGGGGCATGCTTCGCGCATGCGCCCTACCCGGGCAGGCTGGGGTAAGAAAGGCGGGTTGTTGTTGGGTCTGGGGTCTTTAGGGACTTTCAGGAGGCCTGAACCCCACAACCAGTCTACCTGCAAACAGTAGTTCTGCGGGGAACTTGCGGGAATCCTTGAGCTCCTTTACAAGGACCATAGGCATGTTCTGGGTGAACCGTTCCCTCAAAACTCGTCTTGCCGACCCTTCCACAACAATGTGGGTTTTGACAGAAGGGGAAGCGGGCGGAAGGTCCAGCTGCTTGTGGAGGGTGGGTTCCTTATGGTCCTTCGGTTCCCACAGCCCCCGAAGCGAAGTCCCTTAGGGCCGGGGTCTACTGAGCCAGAGTCTGACCAGTTTGACCTTCCCGAGGAGGTTCAGAGAGGGGAGTGTGAGCGGGAAGACCCAGTCTGTGCTCTGCAGCCTGGTAAGAAGCTGGGCGTAGGGTGGGGCGCAATTTGCCATCCTGCGCAAACTGGCGAATTCAAAACTATTCTGCTCTTATTAGCATAAGTGTTTGCATATAATTTGCATGAGACCCATTTAATCGCAGAGACCTCCTCACTTCTTCTTAACCTCTGGTATGTTGTGTGTTCCTCACCCAACTGGTCCGAATCTCCGCAGGCAGTGTCCCTGCGCCCCACCCCTGGCCCCTTGCCAGCCTAGGCTCCAGGACTTCGCCTTAATTGGTGATTAGCTTCAGCTGGAGTCTCGGGGCCTGGAGGAAAGAAGGGTCCGGTAAGGGCGGCACCTGAGTTGTGTTCCCACTAGGAGTTCCCATACACGCACCCCCAACCGAAGGGGCCTCGTCTGCCTCTGCAAGACCAGGAACAGCCCCAATCCTAGGACACCTTAGCGTAGGCCAAGACCCCATTCCCCGGACTCTTCTCCACTGCAACGACTGAAGGGGCGACCCGGGCAGAACCCACTACCAGGCTTAACCCCCACCCCAACGTTGTTCAGTCGGAGCGCGAGATGCAGAGGGAGGGGGAGCCGGGCCGGGGAGCCCAGGCTGGGGAGGAGAGGGGGAGGCGCTGGGGACGTGGAGTGGGAACGTGGTGGTGTCTGAGGGAGGGGGAATTGGGGCGGGAACCCCGCACAGGCTGGAGGGGGATCGCGGGGGGAGAGGGCGGAGCTGGGCTGCGGAGGCCCCTCCCCGCGGCAGCACCGCGGCCGGGCCTGTTATTCGCCTCGCCGCACAACCCAGACGCGCTCAGCGCCAGTGGCTCGGGGTGTCGGCCCCCGCCTCCTCCCTCACCGGAGCCTAGAGCCACCCCCACCCAACCTGAGAAGCCAGAGACGAAGCTGGAGCGACTGCCTCATCCCGGCTCAGCCTCCCCCAACATCCCTCTCCCCAGCTGGACATCTGGACTCTGGGCCCCGCACCGACTGGGTTCCGGAAACCCTCCCCGCCCAGCTCAGCGGGCCGGTGCCGTGCCGCCCTCTCTCCAGAGCCCCCCGCCCTTCTCCAGACCAGACTTCCGCCCACCCCTGAACTCCCCCTCTCTGTCCCCTCCCTCTCCGTCTCCCCCAGCCTGGACCGGGGTCGGAGGGAGGGGGGGTGTGCGCTCTGCGCCATCCCCGCCCCGCCCCCCGTGATTCCCCCTGCATGGCCGGCCCGGGTGGGGGGTGCGGGGGGGCCCGGGCGCCATGCGGGGGGGGCAAAAGGGGGGTCGCTGTGCCTGTCCCCATGTGATCCGAAAAGTGCTGGCAAAATGCGGCTGCTGCTTCTCCCGGGGGGGACGTGGTGAGTGCGAGGTCGGAGGGTCCCAATGTTGAGTCGGGGGCGAGCTGGGGTTCAGGTTTGCCCTGTCCCTAGGGATTTAGGTGCTGGAGATTGTGTGTGCATTTTCCAGGAAAGTGACTTAGTAAATGATCTCTAAGGTTCCTTCCGTCATCAAATTTCTCTATTAGTTCAAATTGACAAAATAGGGGAAGGAGCAGGGAACTTGATTGCTCTCTACACCAAAGTCAGCTGGGTATGAGACAGACCCTTGGGCCTAGAACTGATGTCTTTCCTAAAATCCTTTTGCCTACTTCAGATATGAAGAAGGAAGTGGGATGGAAGAATGAGGGATCCACAAGGGTTTTCATAGTGCATCAGAGCCCAGGCCAGAGGCAGTCCTCATGAGCGCTTCTCACTGGGCCTCTATTGGGTTTGTGCATGCTTGGGGAGGTGGGCTGTGCAGCCTTTTCTTTTTATAGTGATTACTGCAATTGATGGAGTAGGGGTCTGGGGTGGCAGGTGGAGTCAGCTCTTTTTCCTACTCCCCTCATTCCCAGAGAATGGTCTGTACTCACTCATTGAAAGGGGGTGGGTTGTGGGAGAGCAGATGGCCACCCCAGTCTTTACCCAGATGGTTCCCCCCACCCCCATATATGTGCCATGATCAGAATATGGGGAAACCTCCACTAGTACCTGGGAATTCCAGGCCTGGATAGCCAAGTGTTTACTTTTCTTCCACTCAAGAATGCCTCCATGAAATTTTCTATCCTGATCAATTCAAGCAAGAATAGCAGAAAGTCCTTGGAGAGAAGGGATAAGTATAGGAGGCAGACCCTTGGGCTCCTTGGGGATCCTGAGTCTGGAGCTGGAGTAGTGTTAGAATCTTTCAGTCTCTTCCCTTTTTCCCCTACCAGAATCCTATTCCATTGCTGGCAGTGAAGGGAGTATCTCAGCTTCAGCTGCCTCTGGTCTGGCTGCTCCTTCCGGCCCCAGCTCTGGCCTCAGCTCTGGACCTTGTTCCCCAGGCCCCCCAGGGCCAGTCAGTGGCCTAAGGAAATGGTTGGATCAGTCCAAACATTGTCTCAGTGTGGAAACTGAGGGAGATGGTGGCCAGGCAGGATCATATGAGGTGAGCAGGGAGTACCACAGAAGCATATAAACAGAGGACATTGGGAGACAGGGTAAGTTGTGTCCACGGGTACTACTGCCCTTGATCTCTGGTCCCCAGAATTGGATGTTGGAGCCAGCATCTGGAGAGGCGCTGCCAGAACTGACGCTGCTGACCACATTATTGGAGAGCCCTGGGGAAAAGATTCAGGTATGAAGAAATGGACCTGGGAGGTTCCTGTCTTCCAAAAGAAACCCCTTTTCTTACCTAAGGATGCTCTTTTCTTCCAGCCAACTGAGGAGGAGACTGCTTCCCAGGCTCCTGAGAGTGAGGAGGAGCAGCAGAAGAAGGCTCTGGAAAGGAGTATGTAAGTTCTCTCTGCCTCCCATTGCACAATGTCCAGAAGATTTTCCCTCACACTTTTTAGTCTTGGGACTGGGAATCCCTTCTGACATTGACTTTATGGGGGTGAGAGAGAAGTGATGGTGGTGATGGTGTTGTGTGGTATGCCATGCCAGGGAGTCAGTTCCGACTCATAGTGATCCTGTATAGGGTTTCCAAGGCAGTAAATCTTACTGGAGAAGAAAGCCTCATCTTCCTCCTTTGGAGCAACTGGTAGATTGAACTGCTGACTTTGCAGTTAGCAGCCCAACTCATATGTAACCCACTACACTACCAGCTAAACTGAGGATGTACTCAGACTCTGAAGTGGGGGCATTCTTCTATACTTTTCCTAGGTACGTCCTGAGTGAACTGGTAGAGACAGAGAAAATGTATGTGGACGACTTGGGGCAGATTGTGGAGGTAGTTCCCTTTCCCCTTTCCCTGGCCTCACCCATTTACCCTTTCCCTCTGTTCATTCTCCCCTACCCCATCCTGGACTTTTTCCTGAAGGATTCTTCCACCAGGATTGGCCCCACATGCTCCCTCCTCTCCAACTTTCCCATAGGGTTACATGGCCACCATGGCTTCTCAGGGGGTCCCTGAGAGTCTTCGAGGCCGTGACAGGATTGTGTTTGGGAACATTCAGCAAATCTACGAGTGGCACCGAGAGTGAGTTATGGAACCCTAAGTGTGAAGGGTTAGGGAGGGGCTCACATCTGGTCCTCTCTGCATCACACCTATGGGCCCAGTGTGGTCTAAGGAGGAATTTAGGATGGAAGATTGAACATTTGGAGGGGCTTGCCTGGGAGCTCTCCTAGCGCTGACAGCTTGAAATTGAGTGGTAGGTGAGTACGCAGGTCTGAAATGTACTTAACCTTTTTTTTTTTTTTCCTAACCCCTTAGCTATTTCCTGCAGGCGCTACAGAAATGTTTGAAGGATCCTGATTGGTTGGCTCAGCTATTCATCAGACATGTGAGCTCGAGGGTGGGACTTCGGAGGGGCGGGACTTGGGAGTGGGTCCTGGCTCTTTGGAGCTGTCCTTTTCTCTCCTTGCCAGCTCTTTCTCACTTTACCTTTACCTTCTTAAGGAGCGTCGGTTGCATATGTATGTGGTGTACTGCCAGAATAAACCCAAGTCAGAGCATGTGATGTCAGAGTTTGGGGACAGCTACTTTGAGGTCAGTGGTTTAGGTGCCTTGAGGGAAGAAGGGAAACAGAATCTCCAGAACTGGTATTCCAGACTACATAACCACACTGTCCCTGTCTCCAGGAGCTTCGACAGCAGCTGGGGCACCGCCTGCAGCTCAATGACCTCCTCATTAAACCTGTGCAGCGGATTATGAAATACCAGCTGTTGCTCAAGGTCAGCAGCACCTTCTTCCTGGGTGGGACAGCCCTCTCCTTTATCTCCTCAGGGTCCCCCAGAGCTTCTGGAGGTCTCCACCTATGTCTTTAGGGAGAGACTGTTCTAATTAACTCCCTGAGTATTTCTTCCCCATGTTGTAGGATTTTCTCAAGTATTATAGCCGAGCTGGGATGGATACTGAAGAACTGGAGGTGAGGACCCCCGTATCTTCCAGGGCACATTATGCACATCTTCTTTTGTTAGCCATGTGCTTCTCCCAGCCCTTTGGTTGGTTGAGCACTGTGCTGGCTTTTAAGTGAGGCTAGTTGGTGTCAAGACGTGATTTTTAAAGGCACTTGACTGAGGACGCCTCTTTCCTTACAATGATGATGCCCTTCTCTTTGCCCACCAGCGAGCTGTGGAGGTCATGTGCTTCGTGCCCAAGCGCTGCAATGACATGATGACTCTGGGGAGACTGCGGGGCTTTGAGGTATGGGGTGGGACAGGAAACTGGGAGCCCTGTACTCCAGTCTGCACTAGTCTTAGCAATCTCAGAGGTCCTATGGGGAATTATACTTCTCTAGAGCTGACCCATGGTTGCTTGGGAGTGTTAGGAGAGAGAGGAAGGGAGGAGCAGAGAGTTGCCCTTTTCCCCTCCTCATTTCTTCCTTAAAGACCACTGTTCTTTGCTTCTAGGGCAAACTGACTGCTCAGGGAAAGCTCTTGGGCCAGGACACATTCTGGGTTACAGAGCCAGAGGCTGGGGGGCTGCTCTCTTCCCGGGGCCGAGAGAGGCGAGTCTTTCTTTTTGAGCAAATTGTCATCTTCAGCGAGGCCCTGGGAGGAGGAGTGAGAGGTGGAACGCAACCTGGATATGTGTACAAGAACAGCATCAAGGTGGGTAAGGGACCAGTAGGGAGGGCTGCTTGGGATGGGGGGTCAGGCTTCAGAGAGGATGTCTGACTCTTGGATTTGTTGGAAACAACAGAACCATAGAAGATTCTGGAGGCTATCTCCTCTTTGTTAATTTAGGTGAGCTGTTTGGGCCTGGAGGGGAACCTCCAGGGTGACTCTTGCCGCTTTGCACTGACCTCCAGAGGGCCAGAGGGTGGGATCCAGCGCTATGTCCTGCAGGCCACAGACCCTGTAGTCAGCCAGGCCTGGATGAAGCAAGTAGCCCAGATCCTGGAAAGGCAACGGGACTTTCTCAATGGTGAGGCTCATCCTCCGTCCCCAACAAGCTCCTTCAGCCCTTTGACCTACTGAATCTCAACTCTCCAATCTCCAACCCCTGCCCTTTCTACCAGTACCCCACTATTTTTCAACTACCAATTCAAGATTGATAACTTAGAGTGTCCTAAAGCCTCAAGTGATTTACAGTGACTGAAAGTTCTTGGGAGGGAGGAGAGTGGCAAAGTGGGAGGGTGGCAGGAGCAGACCCTGAGGGGAGGGACCTGTCTCTACTCCAGCCTTATCCTCTCTTTACCCCAGCATTGCAGTCCCCCATTGAGTACCAGAGACGGGAGAGCAAGACCAACAGTCTGGGGCGGCCAGGAGGGCCTGGGCTGGGGAGTCCTGGGAGAACTAGGCCTGGAGACCTGGTCCGGGTCAGCGCACACATTCCCATCAATAGCTCTCTCCCCTCTCTGCTGCTGCTGCCTGAAGAGGAGGTGGCCAGAGCCCCCCTGCCCCTGGACACACAGGTATGAGGACTAGAAGTCCCTGGTGGTAGGGGCACAATACAGAGGGGGCGGGGCTGTGCCTGTCTCATTCTGGGATCCCCAAGCTCCCCTCCCCCTCCTTTATCATTCCTGTCTTCTACCACCTTTCCTTTACTGCCCCGCTTCCTATTCCTACTTCCTAACTCTTACATGCTCCACTTTCAAGAGGCTGATGGTCTCAGATCATCTATGCTAGCTGGGGTTTACACTGAAAAGAGGGACTGAGGGTAGATTTCTGCCCTTTGTGTCTTTCTTCAGACCTCCAGTAAAATCCCCCTGGCTCCTCGTGACTCTCCTCCAGTTCCTCCAATTCTGAACACCCCTCCCTGCCAGGCCAGACTTGCCAAGCTGGATGAAGATGAACTGTGACTTGTAACTGGTTGAAGGTCTTCAGGGTGGTGCTGACTTAATCACTGTCTTCCCCCAAGGAGCTTCAGGGCAATCTTGGGGTGCCACTTGGATTTCTTTCTTCTTGGTGTATCAGGAGGGTGGGCTAGACTGGGAGCATTGTCAACTTGGAGGAAGGTACCTACACCCCAAAGGACCTATTTCTACCTAAGGAACACATGTTTCTTCAGCTCTCATCCATATGCATGCATCACAGGTCCCCCCCAAAGGGAGGATATGTGGGTGGGTGGGAGGGCTGGGGCAGGGGACAGATAGAAATGATTGGTTTGGTTTTTGATCTTGTTTTTCCTGTTTTCTGAGAATAAAGGTTTATATCACCAAGGCTGCTGTCTTAGCACAGGGAAGGGGAGGTTGTAGTGGGGGTTCTCTAGGGTAAAAAGGCATGAAAGAAATCAGTTAGCTTTAGTCATGAGAGGAGAGGTCTGGAGAAGAGTGCAGGGTATGAGAGAAAAAGGTGCTACTGACTTTGTACCTCACCTGAAGCTTCAGCATCTCTCAGTGCAGTTCTGGAGCCAATGGAAAACCCTAGATCCTTGACATGTTTTCCCCTTTACCCAACCCTTCTTTTTTTCCCATCCACCCTCTGTTCTAGATCCCACAGGAGAATCCAATGTAGAGTGACTTTCCTCCACCCACCCCCCCCAATACTCAGATGCTAAAGCACAAAATGCCCAATGTACCTTTCCTTCTGAAGCCTCGATGGTCAGCTGAGGGAGTGTGGGAAGGTGGAGAGGATCCCTGGGGTGTGGCTCTCATCAAGTGGTCTCCTTGTCTTTGATGTCTGGGAGACCATAAGGCATGGTCAGACTGAACTGGAGATTCTTCCTCAAGCCACAGACATAAGAGTGGAGAGCCCTCTCCCCAACTTCTGAAACAGTCTCTGGAACAGAGCGAGCCAGACATGCAGAGATCTATGTCCTGGGTCCGTGTGCATCTGTGTGTCTGGTGTGACCATCCATCCTCTGGGCTTCATCACTTGTACTCAGTATTCAGGCTTCCTCAAAAGACAATGGACTGATGGGCTGGGTGGGGAAGGAGGAGCTGGAGCCTCCCAGTGGGCTTGAGGCCCCTCTGGCCCACAATGAGGGGAGGGATCTCTAGAGGGGTGACAGGACGTAGGGCCCAGATAAGACTTCTGGGGAACAATAGGAGGAATTGAAGAAAGGCACCCGCCCTTACCGCACCCTACCCCCAGGGCTTTGGGGTCAGGGACAGGGGGGAGTCAGGGTGAGGGTGATGGGAAGGGATGCTGAGGATCTCATGAATGGAGGAGGGGATGGGGAAGTAACAGAATTCTGGGGTTCAGAACTTTTGTATTTCTTTAGGGACCCCAGGGATGAATGAGATGGGTGGGTGACTCCTTTGTATTTAACCACAAATTTGTCTTTGAGTGCTTACTTGTGAATAGCACTTGAATGTAATAAATGTTTCTGTTTTGGGGCTCCTAGGAAATAAAATCGATATTTCCTATCAGTTCATTTCCACCTGAGACCCTGAGCTGGGAACTTAACTCCAGGCACTCACAGAGGAGGGATGGTGGTTCTGTTATTTGTTTATGTCCAATACATGTTTTCCATCTTAGATTTATGAAACTGCTGAGTCCAATACACTAAGCCCCCTACACTTTCTTGGGGCAAGAAGGCTCCATGAGAGTTTGTGTCTGGGGTGAGGTAGGGGTACCTGCTGAATTTTCTTGACTGCTCTCTAGGGAACTGTGTCATGACACTGGGTAAGACCAGTGAGCCACGGAGTGAAGAGGTGGTAAATCAGGGGGAGCCGGTGGTGAGGGTGGGGAACATTTATCTTTTGACCTTTCTCTCTGGGTTCTTTCTTCTACCACCACCCCCATGTTAGTCCCAAGCTGGCCTGAGAGTGAGCCAAAGCCAAGAGTGCCTGAGGAAATGCCTAACAGAGAGCCCCCCTCCTTAGGATTCAACTCTAACCTGACCTAAGAAGGCCCCCACAGTAGGGCCTCCTCCTGGGCAGGATTGGACTTTGTTTAGTGGAGGCGGAGGCGGAACACTGGACCAGTGGGCGGAGGGGTATTTAAGACCAGGAGGAGTTGGAACAGTCAAGTGCAGAATGAGTGGGTTCCTGGGCGCCGGGAATGGCCCAGGTCCAGGAGAGGTCTCGGACCTTAGGTCCCCTGTGGGCACCGGGTTCAGGAAACCTCTCACGGAGGCTCGGTTCCGGCAGCTCTTCGGAGATGCAGAGGAGGAACCTGACCTACCCGTGGAGCCTGGCTTGTCTGGGTTATTGAGGCTGTGGAGGCTGCGGGCCCGCGCCTGCTCAGGGTCGGGGGCGTGGCGCCAACTCCTGGCCCGGCTGCCGCCTCTGCGCTGGCTTCCCCGCTACCACTGGCGGGCCTGGTTGCTCGGAGATGCGGTGGCCGGAGTGACCGTGGGCATCGTGCATGTACCCCAAGGTGAGCGGCCTCAACACCAGCCTGCAAGAGACTCTAAAGTCTAGAGTGTTTGGGGAAAGTGGTGTGGAGAGCGGGAAACTGGGCAGCAGGATAGTAGGTTAATGTTGCTAAGGAGTTGGGGAAAGGGACCTGACATGAGGTCTGTGAATCTCACCACTTTGGCTTGGCCAGGTGCCCCCACTTCCACCTTTGCGCAATCCCCTCTTGTATGCAATCCTGCAAGAAGTCTTGACCAGGTTCCGGCTCAAGAAACTGGAGAGGCACGACGCCTGCCCCCCAGGACTCGGGCCGGACATGGATCTGTGCCCTTGTCCACCCCACAACCTCCCACGGAGGCCCGTTAACTCCTCAGTTCCCTCCAGTGGCTGGATTTAGCGTCCCCCAGCCTAGCCTCTGGTAGCATCGTGGTTACAAATTGGGCTGCGAACCTTAAGGTCAGCAGTTCGAAACTACCAGCCGCTCCGTGGGAGAAAGATGAGGTTTTCTGTTCTCGTAAAGATTTACAGCCTCTGAAACCCTGTACAGGTTCACGATAGGTCGGAATCGACTGGACAGCACTGAACAACAACAAAGCCTAGCCTCGAAGTGTGGGGGCAGGACCACCTTCTCCACACATCTCAGATGGTTTATTTTACTCCCCCCCCCCAGGCATGGCTTTTGCTCTCCTGTCTTCTGTGCCCCCTGTGTTCGGACTCTACACTTCTTTCTTCCCTGTCCTCATCTACACCTTGTTGGGTACTGGGAGACACTTGTCCACGGGTGAGTGGTCAATGACCTCCAGGTAAAAATGGACAGGGATTTGAGGCTTGCCTTCTAATTAGCTCCCTGGTTTTTAATCTCCCCTTCACCTCTTCTACCACTCACACCACTCTGACCATGGCAGTCCTCACTAGGAATGCAGAGAGGCTGAGGTTTCCTAGGACTTTTCTCTCCCTGGGGAATGGGATTAAAGCAAACATTTCTGGGACTTGAAGGGAGAGAAAGGGATCACTTGAAGAGGCACGCAGCCCTTAGGGAGTCTGAGGAGGTGGCATCATGACGACTGTTTGTGACTATGATGGCTGGTGCACCCACTTGCCCCCTGTCATCGCCAGTTGTCTGCTGCGGCACCAGAGCAGCATACCGGCCCTAGAGTGCTGAGCCTGGGCTGTGGCTGGGGAGGTGTCTGCTTTTGTCCCCCATCCCACCCTAGGAACGTTTGCGGTACTCAGCCTCATGACTGGCTCAGCCATTGAGCGTGTGGTGCCTGAACCCCCCGGGGGAAACCTGAGTGAAATTGAGAAGGAGCAGTTGGACGCACAGCGGGTTGGGGCGGCTGCAGCCTTGGCCTTCGGAAGTGGGGCGCTAATGGTGAGGGATCCCCCGGGAGAGGATCCAGGTTATCCATGCTAGGGGTCTGGGCTCGGAGAAATGGCCCCGTTTCTGGTGCGGGATCTAGTGGGCCAGGTGCTCGGAAATGCTAGCACACTGCGCCCGGGTGGTCTGCATCGCGGCCGTTTGATGATGGTGCAACTTCTACCCCATAGATGGTGATGTTCACGCTGCGGCTCGGCGTCCTGTCCACTTTCCTGTCTGAGCCTGTGGTCAAGGCGCTGACCAGCGGGGCCGCGCTGCACGTGCTCGTGTCTCAGCTGCCGAGTCTTTTGGGGTTGCCTCTCCCGCGCCAGCTTGGCAGCTTCACGCTCTTCAAGGTGTGGGTGAAAGGACAGCGGGGAGGAGGTTTCCAGCAGTCTCGGGATGGAAGAAATATGTATAGGGAGACAGGACGGCGGGTGGAAGGAGAGTGGTTTAGAATGACTTGGCCCTAATGAGTCTCGCGTACGGAGGTGGAAGTTCTGATAAGAACCAGGAGAGAGCGCTTTGCCTCGGCCTGATGTTTGCACTGGGAACAGTGGACCCTGCTGCTGCTGGGCCATTTGCTCATTGCTCTTGCCCACAGACGCTGGCCGTTGTGCTGACGGCACTGCCCCAAAGCAGTCCGGTTGAATTGACCATCTCGGCACTCAGTCTGGCGCTGCTAGTGCCGGTAAAGGAATTGAACGTGAGATTCCGAGACAGGCTGCCTACTCCGATCCCAGGGGAAGTCGTCATGGTGAGGATGGTCCCCGCTTCTCAGCCCCCTGCCGGGCCCAGACCCTGCCCACCCTCTAGCAACTAACCCACAATGACTTCGTGGGACCGCTTCCGCCCCCTTGTGGAATGCAGAGGGACCACAGTCCAGAGGTCCTGCTCACACATGTACATTTGTAGACCTCCCAGAATGCTTTGGTCTGCAGTAATCACTCCGCAATCTCCCACCGACACTTCCCTGTCTCTTTTAATGAACTCCCTCTAGACCTCTTATTTTACCTCCTCTTTCTCCCTACAGAGCTCCCTTGCAATCTCGCTGGCCACAGCACCTCCACTCACATCTCCCACAGGGCCCTTCACTGAATTGTTACCTCCCTTTTCATTGCCCTCCCTCCAACCTACAGTTGTCTTTCCCAGATTGAGGAATTGTTCCATGTTGTGCGTTTCCACGGGTACTCTATATCTTCCTCAATAAAGCCTAGTCTTGTTTAAAATGGCCATGATTCCTCACACCAACCTATTCTTCTTATTTTCTCTCATTTCTGTCTCTCATACCTATCAACCCTCTTCTGAGTCCTTGATTCATGTCTTCCTTTACTCTAAAACTGTTGTCTGGAATTAATCACAAGCATACCCCACCTACCTCATTTGCTGGCCTCCTTTGACTACCTCCTTTCTCATCCTGAGCCCCTTCCTTCAGGGGTCTCACTGCCCTCATTTTTTTCTTTCTTTCCCAGGTTCTCCTGGCATCAGTGCTTTGCTACACTTCTTCCCTGGACACAAGATACAATGTCCAGATAGTGGGCACGCTGCCTGGAGGGTAAGAGAATGAAAAAATACAACTTTCTCTTCCCACACTTTTTCTGGTAACGCAAAACTTTTCCCACCCAACATCTTCATCCTGCTCCACTCATATTTTCTCTGCCTTCCTTACTCGCTGCAACATCCAAGTCAGTCTTACCATGGATCCCTCTTTCTCCAGATTCCCTCAACCTCACCTCCCCAACCTTACTGAGCTGCCCAGGATTCTGACAGACTCCCTGCCCATCGCACTGATGACTTTTGCTGTGTCTGCCTCCCTGGCCTCCATCTATGCAGACAAGTATAGCTACACTATTGACTCCAATCAGGTGTGACTTTGACTATGAACCTGTCTCACTGAGGAGCCCACCCCTAGCCTGCCTTCCCTTCCTATATCTCACTGCATCCCTCCAGGAACTCTTGGCACATGGTGTCTCCAATCTCATCTCCTCCCTCTTCTCTTGCTTTCCCAACTCGGCCACCTTGGCCACGACCAGCCTACTAGTGGATGCTGGTGGGAATACACAGGTAAGAGGGCATCCTTGAAGGAGGAGAAAGGGTGGGGGCATCCAGATCTGGGTAGACAAACAGGTGGAAGGTGGGTAGATAGAGGATGGGACTAGGTGAGAGGATGGGGGTGGGGGATTATCTAGGTAGGCAGTAGAAAAGACAATAGTAAGGCCAATTAAGATCTTATCAGCCACTCCAAGGGAGAAAAAACCCTGGCAATGTGTTCCTGTAAAGATTGTTGTTAAGTGCCATTGAGTTGGTTTTGACTCATAGCCTGTTGTGATGTGCCGTGGAGTTGGTTCCGACTCATAGTGACCCTGTACAGGGTTTCCGAGGCTGTAAATCTTTACGGGAGCAGAAAACCTCATCTTTCTCCTGTGGAACAGCTGGTAGTTTTGAACTGCTAACCATGAGATTAGCAGCCCGAGTCATAACCACTACGCTACCAGAGCTCCTATTTGACTCATAGCAGCCCTCCCTATGTAGGGTTTCTGAGTTGGGCCTGGTGGTCTTGAACTGCCAACCTTGTGATTAGCAGTCCAGCACTTACCCTAGAGTGATGCACCAGGAATTGCCTGTAAAGATTAAGCCTAGAAAATACCTGGGGCAGTTCTACTCTGTCCTATAGGATTTCTAAGAGTTAGAAACAACTCAGACACAACAGCAGCCGCCTCTAAACTGGAGTCCCTGGGGGTGCAAATAGTTACATGCTCAACCATTGTTAAGTGCCAAGAGTCTGTTCTGACTCAGTGACCCTATGTAGGGTTTCCAAGGAACAGCTGTGAGTTTGAATCACTGACCCTGTAGCTCAAACCAACCTTGCAATCCAGTGCATTATCCTGCAGCACTACACCAGGCCTCCTCAACAGTTGTTAGGTGTTGTCAAGTGGGTTTCAGCTCAGCTTACAGAAACCTTATATGATAAAGCAGAACTCTATAGGGTTTTCCAGGCTGGATGGATTGCGAACCACAAAGCTGGCAGTTCAAACCCACCAGCTGTTCATCAGAAACCCTATAAAGGGTCACTGTGGGTCCAAATCAACTCACCGGCACTTAACATTGCCAGGTCTTCTTCCAGCAAAGTTGCTGGGTGGGTTTAAACCACCAGCCTTTTGGGTAGAAGCTGAATGCTTAACTGCTACACACTGAGGACTCCTGAAGCCTAAGTGCTCAACTACTATCTGAAAAGTTGGAGGTTCAAACCTACCCAGAAGCACCTTGGCAGACAAGTCTTGACAATCTGCTCCCAAAACTCTCGGCCTTAAAAACCCTATGGAGTTGTTCTCTTCAGTCCTGGAGCCACCGTGGGTTAGAACTGACTAGATGGCAACTAATAACAAGGACAGCAGGCTCAAAGACTGAGTTTATGGTGACCCATCTGTAGCTTAAAATAAACACAATACCAAACTGTAGCAGAAATTTGAGACAAAATTCTCATTTTTTTCTCATACGGATTAGTTTAAACTTTTAGCTGTAACTGTAAAAATATCCCTGATATTTTGGTTTCCATTTTTTTTTTTTTTTTGGTTTCCTAAGCATGTGTTTAGCCTACCTCTAGGGTATTCCTCTTTCACTGCCTTTGGATTGATTGACTCCTATCAATCCTATAGAGCACAACAGAAGGGCTTCTTGGGTGATCCAGAGCTAGCTTGTAAGATGGAAAAGTTGAACTACAACTAAGGGGAGACTGGGGAAGGGAAAAGGTCGGTGTGAATGGCAGGAAGATCCAGTGGGCTGAGGAATATGGTGTGGGAAGACTTCCTAGGGAGAGGAGGCAGGGAAGTCGGCTGTCACACTGGGACTGGGGTGAGGGCAGGCTCCCTTCTTCTTCCTCCACTCCTTTCCTGTAGTTGGCAGGCCTCTTTTCCTGCATAATTGTCCTGTCAGTGCTGCTGTGGCTGGGGCCCTTCTTCTATTACTTGCCCAAGGTAAGGGGTAGAAGAAGCATATGAGGGTGGCTGGCAGGCTGGCTGTAGACCGGAGCCTGGGGTCCTCAGCCTGCCACCTCTGTCCCAAGGCTGTCCTGGCATGCATCAACATTTCCAGCATGCGCCAGATGTTCTTCCAGATGCAGGAACTTCCACAACTATGGCGAATCAGTCGCATGGACTTTGTGAGAAATGGCAGCCTTACAATCCCTTGTCCCCCCTTCCACCTTCCCCAACCTCTGCCTTGGATCAAGCTGTTTGTCCTACAAGCCCCTCCAATCCTCACTCCCCTATCACTGCAACACACATACTTCCTAGTACCCTTTTGTTATTAAGTGCCATCTAGTTGGTTCCGACCCTTTACTCAGGGACAAATTAAAGTCCTGAGTACTCAGATTTGTAGGCCCCTAGATATGGTGCAAGCTCTGAGGTCATAACATTTGGTGTGTTTCATATCTGTTAGGCCCATACTGACCCTTCCTTCTGTCATTCTTCCTTTGTCCTGGCCTGTCCCTCTCCATCAGTTGCCCTGGCAATTACTACCCCTGTACTCCTCTCCCTGGTAGTATGACCTTAGCCTCTTCCTTCTGGGCAATTCCCCACTCCATGTCCTGCAGGCAGTGTGGATGGTCACGTGGGTAGCTGTAGTGACTCTGAGTGTGGACCTGGGTCTGGCTGTAGGCGTGGTCTTCTCCATGATGACTGTGGTCTACCGTACCCAGAGGTGGGAGTTGAAAGGAGAGGGGAAAGGTGATGATTTGGGTGACTCCCCAGCCTAGCCAGGCTGGACATCTGACCCCAGCTCCCTGGCCAGGGTACAGTGCCTGGCCCTTGGACTCGCTGAAGGAACAGAGCTCTACAGGCCACTCAGAGAGAGCCACAAGGTGGGTAGGTTACAACCAAGGATGGAAAGGGAGATACTATCTGAATGTGTCTCTGATCCTCTGACCTTTTAGTTCCTCCAGGTCCCAGGACTCTGCATCCTGAGCTATCCCACACCACTTTACTTTGGGACTCGTGGGCAGTTCCGCTGTGTCCTTGAGTGGCACCTAGGACTTGGAGAGAAGGGCAAGGTACATGACTCAGTCAAGGAGAGTGGCTACTTTGGAAGTGGGAGGCAGGTGGGTGTTTTCAAGGAGAATGAGTTCATGTTTATGTCTCCCCTGGTGCCATCTAACTGCCCCTCTCTGCTCACAGGAGACTCCAAAGCCTTCTGATGCAGGTGAGATGGGATGATAGGAGGGAGATGTGAGCGTGATCCATGGAAACATCTGGGTACTCCTGCCTTCTCCCCACCCCAGTTGCAGAGCCTGTCAGAGTGGTGGTCCTTGACTGCAGTGGGGTCACCTTTGCAGATGCTGCTGGTGCCAAAGAAGTGGTACAGGTGAGGTTGAGAACAGGTTGGAGAGAAGATCTCATCATCCCACTCAGACCTAACATCAGAGGTTAACATCCCCTTTGCCCAATTCTTGCAGCTGGCCAGCAGATGTCGAGATGCTGGGATCCAACTTCTCCTGGCTCAGTGTAATGGTGAGAGGTACAGGAGGGTGGTGGGACCCACTGACTTGAGAATGATTGGACACTAAGGGAAGGTAAGAGGGTATGTATGTGTGGACTTGGGAACTGAGGGCCTGATCCCCTTTGCATACAGCCTCAGTGTTGGGGACACTGACCTGGGCAGGACTCCTGGACATAGTGACCCCAGAACAGCTGTTTGTGAGTGTCCAGGATGCAGCTGCTCACGCCATGGAGAGACTGGTGAGGGGGCAGTGGCAGGAGGGGTGTGCATTGTGACAGGCTGAGGGCTTTGGAAAGGATACTAAGGAAGGGGGGAGGATCAAGGAGAATGAGGGGTTAGGCGATAAGATGATTAGGTAATTTTAAGACCAGCTGGGGAGACTGTGTCTAGGTATGTGTGTAGAAATGAGGAACTAAGGTCCCCAAATGGGTGGTTAAGTTAAGTGCCGTCGAGTCGGTTCCGACTACCGCCCAAATGGATGGTAGTGCCTGCCATTCAGAGGACTGCTAAATTCCAGGAAGGTGTGGGGATTGCCTAATCTACCCTGAGCTACTCCTGACACATCCCTTCTTTTCTAGGAGCTCACTGGTCCAAAGGCTTGCACAGTGTGGGTCTGATCTGGTCACTTGGAGAGGGGACAGCCCCAAAAACATTGTGGTGGAGGACCATGGCCAAAGTGCCCTTAATTAGTGTAACTAATAAAATGAAGCTGGGGTCTCTGAGACCCATGAAGTGAGTCTGGGTGTCTACATATGGACCCTGGTGCCCTTCCTCCTTGCCCGCAACATTGTCAACACACAATTGAGAATGGCTTTGACCATGTGTTCACCAGCCCCTACCTCAGCTGGAGTCATAAGTTCTCTCCATGGGGATGGGATTGGAGCTGGTGCACAGAGTCCTGGATCCAGAGATGGGAATGGGGGATACAGCCCTGGGATTACATTGGGGGGCCTTCCCCATGCCCCAATTCCAAGGAGATGAGAAGACAGTGTCTATTTTAGTTCTTAGAGTCCCCCTGGGCTCTTTGGCACTTGGAAAGCAACCCCCATTTCCTGCCCCATTAACATGGGGTTGGGGGGACTTGGCACTGGCTGTGGGAGGGGGTATATCTTCATCACTGGGTACTTGAGGCAGAGGGGTGTCACCAGGACAAGCCCCTGTTCAGAGAATCAGGTTCTGAAGACAAGGGATGAGGCGCTGTTGCGGGGAGTGGGGGTGGGGGGTATCAGATACAGTCAGTTAAGAGGTCACTGAGTGGTGGAGTTTGCTGGAAATTCCTAGCAGAGACAAGGAAGCAGGTTCAGCCTGATAGTTGGAAGAATGGTGGGTGGACATCACTCTACGGTCATGCACTGCAGCCGGTGTTTGAGGAAAAGCAGGCGGTGTTTGGCCACCTGACTTTCATCCTGTGATCCTGGGTAACGGTACTGGGCGTAAATGTCTGCCCTGGCATCCCTTGACACCCAAGGAAGCTTCAATTTGGATGCGTGATCCACAACAACATCTGAGCAGGATCCCACTCGAAGGGTACCAAGCCCATCCAGGAAGAATTCTGGAGGTGAGGGAGGGGAACAGAGAAAGGTCCTGAGGATGCAGAAGGCCAACCCTTAAAGGAGAACTGAGAGCTGGGGTTACAGAGTGTGCATTTGTCAAATCTCCGGACCTAAAGACCTTGGGCATGTGAGCACATCCCTTGGGCATGTGAGCACATCCCTTCAGATTTCAGTTTTACTTTTGCCTTACACTTTGAAAACAGAAAAACCCACTCCCACTGTTCACAGGTTCCATAGATGCTCAATAGGCTTCTCCAAGTGTGATCTGAACCATGGGAATCTGCTCCTAGGGAGGGAGGGGTGACAGTGGTGACAGTCACAGAGAGACTCTCATACTCAAGAGGACCCAGCCGCTGTACTAGGGGTGGAGGCTTACTAGGCATGCAGGCAGGAGGATGTGGGAGTTCTCAGAGCCCCAGTGCAAGTCTTTGTAAATCTAAGAAATACTGGAGAGGTTCCAGGTGCCAGTTGTGGGCTCCATGGGGTGGGTGAGGAGGAAGTGTCCGACCAGGACAGGCAGTACTCACCCAAATGGGCTACGCGGCTGAGGCGTGGGTCGAAGCCAACTTCCCGCACTTTATCCGTTCGGGCTAAGAAGAAGTTGACGACGCCATCTGTGACCACACAGCCAGGGAAGCCAACGAGCTCGTGGTGGAAGCCACGCCTCTGTCGGAGACAATTCCCAAGTCCTGGTGCACCGGGCTCCACACTCAGCAGCTGCCGGTAGGTGGTGGCAAAGCCTGAGATCTCACGCACTGCGCCCCCCACCTGTGGGGAGTTGAAAGGTGGTTCCAGACAGGGGTAAGGCGGTTCCCCTGCCCACCCTCTTCTGTTTCAAAGGGTTACGTGGGGGCCCCACTTCTTCATCCTCCCTTGGTCCCAGTGCCTCTCCCAGCTTCCCTTAGTACACAGCCCCCCCCCCCCCCCCACCCCCGCAAGCAAGCCAGTGTTCCCTGCCTTCCTTCTCTCCCTCCTTCCCCCTCCTCCCAGCAGCCTGCTCCCCTCCCCACCAGGTCCAGGGGCGTCCTCTCCAGTACATCCACGAGTCTCTCTAGCCGTGTCCGCGCGGTAAATACAAAGTCGTCGTCCACCCATAGCACATACTTGGTGGTCACTTGTGACACGGCCAAGTTTCTGCCCGCGAACCAGCCCTGGAGGAGTGGGGTGTGTGGTTAGAGGGAGTTGAAGATGTTAGACAACCCCGCCAACCACCCCTTTTCTTCCTCTTCCTCTGGCCCGTTTCCACAGCCTGTGCCCCTCTGCAAACTTTTGAGTGCTTAGGAATGGCTGGGTGGTGGTGGTGATATGCTGTCAGTTAAATCTGACTCAGAGGATCCTGCGTAGGGTTTTTGAGGCTGTAAATCTTTATAAAAGCAGAAAGCCTCATCGTTCTCCCACTAGGCTATCTGGGCTCCTTTGAATGGCTGGGGTTAGAGAAGGAAGGAAGGGAGAAAGGGAGGGAGGGAGGGCTTCTGATGTAGTGTTCTGGGAAACAACTATTTCTTGAGTGTCCACTAGGTGCTAGGCATCATTCTACCTAAGACAGCAGTGAATATGATAGGATCACGACTCCTGCTCCCATGTAGTTCACTGTAAACACCCAAACTCCAGGTTTCACACCTTGCCAAAGGGCATGAGATAATGCTCAACGTATGGGCCGCTGATTTGCTCTGGCTTCTCGCTGTCATCAGCGATGATCACGGTGACCGTTGGGTAGAAGCGGCGTATGCTGGCGATGAGAGTCCGTAGCCGGTCATAACGAAGAAAGGTCTTGGTGGCGATGGTGACCAGAGCACTGATGTTGTACTGAGCTGGGAGTGAGGGCCCAGGGTTGGATGTAGACAAGGGCGGTCAGGAGTAAGAAACAGACAGACATTCCCTCCTAGGGCTAACTTTGCCCCCATAGGGCCAGATCTACGTCCATGATCTTACCAGTCTTACCTCCCTGGGGTAGAATCCCAGACGGGTATAGCCGAGGGTTGGGGGGGTGTCTGATGCGAATGGTGAATGCAGCCTCGTGTCCCTCAGTGGAGAAGCGAACTGTGGAGAAAGAGCATGGTGAGTGGGAAAGAGCATAGGAAGTGCCCTTAAGTCTCAGCAACATTCTCTAGTCAGTCACCTAATCAAATATTTGAAGCCCTGGTGTGGCACTATAGGATAAGCATTTGACCTCAAGGTTGGTTTGAACAGCAAGGTTGGCAGTTCAAGCCCACCAGCCACTCCTTGGAATCTCTATATAGGGTTGCTATGAGTTGGAACTGACTTGACAACACTTAACAACAACAACTCTGTATTCCATCTTTCTGGGTTTGGTGGACAAGAACATAAGGTCTTTATCCCTCATGGAACTTGTATTCTAATGGATGGAAGACAGTAAAAATGTTAATTACAGAAGTTTAGATTTTATTAATTTGTAGAGTTTCTAAGTCTTTCTGTTGTACAGAATTGTTTGTTTGTTTGTTTCAACTGTCTTCCTTTCTTCTTTGGGGAACTGGTGACAGGAAATTAAATCAAACACTTGTAATTAGTATTCTGGTGTCAAGTAGAAAACATTCCTTTAAGAGTTTTGAAGTTATTTATTTTCCTTTTATAAAAAACAAACCCTAAGGCAGTTCAAGCTCACCAGTCACTCCTTGGAAACTCTATACAGGGTCACTATGGGTCGGAACCGACTCGATGGCACTTAACAACAACAACACCCTAACTTATTCCCTGCATTTTCCCTACTATTTTCTGGTTATTTATTGTGTTGGCTGCACGGGGCAGACTGCAGTCTTCTCTTATTGTGACTACTTCTAATTGTCATGTACAGTATATTCACAATGAGATGACTTCTCATTGCAAACAAATTGTATAACTGCCCAGAGCAGTTCTTAGAAAGCAACCTAACATTTATAAGGGAAAAAAAAAGTTTTAATGAAAAGCCAACATTTATTGAGTATTTACTCTGTGTCAGGCACTTTTGAATGTATATTTTAAATGTATTCACTCATTTAATCCTCACAATAACCCTATTAAACAGATTCCTACTATAGAAAAAGAAACCAAGGCAAAAAGAAGTTAAGTAACTTGTCCACATTTACACAGCTATTAAGCAAGAAAGTTGGGGAGAGGAATCCAGTCAGTCTGATTCCAGGCTAAGTAAACAAGAAAATTCAGATAATAATAATCACTATTGCCTAGAAAATATGGTAAGTAATGTGATAGTGAAGAGGAGACATTTGAGCTGAGATCTAAATGACAAGGAAGAGACAGCCATGCAAAAATCTGGGGGATGCACATTCCATGTGTGGGGACAGCAAGTGCAAAGGCCTGGTGGTGGGAGAAGGCTCCATGTAGCAAATCTTGAAGAGAAGCAGGAGGGCTGTGTTATGTCATGTCCCTTTTGCTAGAGGAGAAACGGAGCTCAAGGAGGTAAAACCCTTGCCCTCTAGAAAGTGGTGGGCTGGGAATAGAGCCTGAAACCTTCGGTTCTTGGGGCAGGTCACTTCCTAGGGCTCCCACAGTTGGCCTGGAGAACACACCCATGGCTCACGTTTCCTTTGGCCTGCCCTGGTCCCAGATGAACAAAGGTTCTTTCTCTTCCTTTCTGGCCCTGCTGGCCCAGCTGAAATACCCATTGTGTGGCTGGGCAGCTCTGGCCACTGCCTGAGTGCCTTCCACATCCTCTGTCACTTGTCTGGCCCAGTCTTTCTGGATCATCTCTGATGGCAGTCTGCTCCTCCCTCGACCCAGGCCTCACACCTGTGTCTGCTGTGTTGGTCTGGTAGTTTCGGCTGCTGTAAGTGACCAGCTGCAACTGCCTGTTGAGCTGGTCCAGCCCTGGGCTGGCAAGTGTGAGATCCGCCTGACCCTCTCCAGTAAGAATCACTCCTGTCACTTCCCCTGCCACATCCCAGGTGCCTAGGGAGGCAGTCAGGTTCACCTGGGAGAGGGTGTTGGAGAGAGCAGGATTAGGCTCCAGGCCCACTTCTTACCTTACTGGTCCTTCCATCCCTCCTTTGGTCTAGTCTCTCTCCCAGTATTCTCACTGCCCACCTGGCCTCTCTACCCTCCTGTTTCCTCTTACCTGATATAGCTCCTGACTGGAAGCTGCCTGTAGGCTTAGCCCTGGGAGGAAGGACAGAAGATCAGAATCACAGAGAGCCCTGAGTTCTTCCTCACTTTCTCTCCCCTCATTCAGCACACACAACATGACTTTTCACCATTCCTTTTGAGGGTTCAACAGGGCATATTGGTTAACTCAACCTAGAGTGACTGGTTTTTTACTTCTTCCCATCAAAGCAGTATCTCTTCTATGGCCCAGCCTACCTACCCATATAATCTTTGGTCAGTCAGTAAAGAATAGATTCTTCTTCTCAAGCCTCCCCAGTTATTAAAACTAAACCAAATTTGTTGCCATCGGAGGGATTCTGACTCATGGAACCCAGTGTGTTAGAGAGTAGGATTGCTCTGTAGGGTTTCTTTACAGAAGGAACAGTGGTTACACACTCCGCTGCAAACGAAAGGCCAGAGGTTTGAACTCACCAGCCACTCTTAGGGAGAATAATGGGGCAGTCAACTTTCATAAAGATTATGGCCTTGGAAATCCTTTGGGGGCAGTTTTATTCTGCCCTATAGGGTCACTCTGATAGCATAGTGGTTACGAATCGGGCTGCGAACCTCAGGGTCAGCAGTTCAAAACTACCAGCTGTTCCACGGGAGAAAGATGAGGTGTTCTGCTCCCATAAAGATTTCCAGCCTCGGAAACCCTGTACAGGGTCCACAGCACACAACAACAACAACAACAACATAGGGGCACTATGAGTCTGAATTGACCAGTCCGAACAAGTTTGATTTAAAATAAATAAAGAAAAACTCTTTAAGGAAGTAGATTGTCAGGCACCACTGGGTGGTTTTTTAGGTTGAGTTGAGTGCACATTCTTCCATAATTCCTGATGATCCTAGCATCCCTCTGTCCCCACCTCCCACTAAATAAACCCCTTCTAACCTCCAAGTCCCCATCTCATCAAGAGTTTCACCTCCCATTCCAACCTTCCCTCATTCTTTCTCATGCAACCTTGGGTTCTGCCACCCCACCATGCTCCAGGTCATCTCTAAACCTTTCTCCCCACCTGGCACCAAGATGCTCCTGAGGGGCTGTACCTCCACACCCTGTAGTGGGTACTGTAGGGGGGAATTGGCAGGGGCTATAAGTAGCTGATCAGCTGGGGACTGGCTCCTAGCAGTGGAGGAGGGAGAGGAGAGAGGGGAGTCAGAGAGAAAGGGTTACACCCACCCTCCAGCCCTCCCACTGCTTTCCCCCCTCAGAGTTACACCCTTCATTCTAGTTGGCACCTTGAAAGGAAGGCCTGAAACTCTTGCTCCCTAGCGGCAGAGGCAGCCCTCAGTTCTTGAGGGTCAAAGGCTTTGGTGAGGTCAGTGGCTCGGATCTGCCTCTGGAAGGGAAAAGAAACGCTCCTCCCACTGGGTTCACAACTGCAGTTGTTCTGAGTCAGCAGCCTGGAGAGGGGACAAAGAGGCATCAAAGCCCAGTCACACAGTTCCATTCACCCCACACCTTAGCTCTGTCACACTGCCCATTCAATATTTGCCCCCCTTAAACATTGCTTCTTAAATAGTTCCCTAGAGGGAGGACCGCGGATAAGATATCATGTCTCCTAAGACATGATTTTACAGAGAGGCATAGAATTAGGCCAGTTACGAGGCTTTCAGTCAAAACTCTCCGCTTTTGGCTGATTCACACCAATGACTCATTCCACTCACCTGACTGAACACCCTCCCATCCCCAAGATAAGGTTCAACGGAGGGCAGATCTCCCCTCCTCAGCCAGAGCTTCAGCAGCCCCTCCCCCGCCCACTCCAATTTCACCCCCCAAACAACTAGGCATCATCAGAGCCCAGGACTAGAAGAAACAAAAGCCTCCCAACCCTGCCCCTTTCCCCGTACAGCCAGTGAGGTTCCCACACTCACCCCACCACTTGCTCCTTGATCCTGACCGGGATGTGTGCGTAGTGGGGATCTGGAGCAAAATCTGGCAATTGGGGCTTGGGGAGGCCCTGCGGGGGCGCCCACAGCGCAGAGTGAGCTGGGAGGCCCGGCGCGTCCCGGGTGTTTGCGTATAGGAGGCCAAGCGAGGCGCAGGCGAGCAGCAGGACCAGCGCGCAAAGGGCCCTGCGGCCCAGCCGCATCCTAAAGATGGGAAGGGTAAGAGGGAGGACGCGGGACAGGACCCTTAACCCTGTTGGCTCTGGAAGATCTTGCCGGCTCCCAGCGGTACTTTCCACACCCTGCGCGCTAGTATGTGCACAAGGACTCGCTACCCACCCGCCCCCGTCCGGGTCTCCTCCTCCCTTCTCTCCCCGGGCCTCTGGGGCTCTCGGTCTCCTTTCTTCTAGCCCTCTGCAGGATCTCGGCTTTCCCTCATATCTGAGGCCTGGCACAGTGATGCTAGAGACATTAGTATGAGGCGGTTTCTATGCGGCAGCTCATAGGTTGGAAAGTACCATTTTATTAGAGCAGCAGCGGTTCTCAAGCCTTCAGCCCGCTGGGGCTTGCGCGTTTCTCCGTTCTCCCTCGCCCCCCCACCCCCACCCCCGTCCCCACCCCGCACCCTCAGCCGGAGCATCACCTGGACCCGGGTGGGCTGTAGAAGGCGGTTCCACATCTTGTAATGAAAAATGCAGAATCACACCCGCGCTTTTGGGTACCCCAGCGGGGCTGACCCCGCGAGTGGCCTCGGGAAGGCAGGAAAGAAAAGATAGGGATATGGGCGCGCACGACTCCTCCCGCCTCCAGCTCCGGCCGCATCCAGTCCGAGCACTGACCTGTCTACCGCTCTACTGCCAAGGCACACTTTCGGTCGGGTCTGCGCCGGGCTCCCAGCGCCGAACGGGGGATCCACATGGGGCCAGGGTGGTCTTTCGGGAAAGCAGGCGTGAGCCTGAGCGTGGGGGATCCGGCTTCCCAATCGCGCTCATGCGCTTCCGCCGCGGGCTCTCGAGCTTTGTAGATCGCGACGCTAAGGTGACTGGGCGTTCCCCTGAAGGGAAAGCTAGTTAAGAAACAGTTGTGTTTCCCCACCGGAAACAAACCCTGGACTCACTGGCGCCCTGCCTCACTTGCCCAAGCGAGAAGACAGACCACCGCAGGTTCTTGGTATTGCGGTGTCGCGCCGCTGGAACCTGGACTGGTTGCAGCGGAGGATCTGGCTTGGCTTGGGCAATGCGAGCGCCTGGGCGCCTTCTAGAGAACGCGAAGGAAATTGCAGGGGCGCGGAGCCGGAATCCTGGGAAGGTCTGGTCCAACTCTCTGCCTCCCATCCTTCAGCCGTTCGTCCCAAACATCTCAGCCTTCTGCCCCCAATCCTAGTCTTCCAATTTCCCACTCCTTCAGATTCTCCCTGCCGTCATAGTTCTACAAAACAATCGGCAGTAAGGGCTTTGGGAGGGGATTGGGACAACGTCGCCCTAACACTCCATTTCAAGGAAGTTTGAGTTAGGTTGAAATAAAGGAAACAAGTCTACATTAAAAAAAAAAAAAAGGCGCTGCCTGGCTAACAGACAGATTTAAAGCCTTAACGTTTTCTACTTCCGCAAAGACTCAAAGCCTCAGAAGTCCTATAGTGTCACTATGAGTTAGAACCAACTGTAAGGTACTTAACAACAACAAAAACTCCTATTGTGGGGAGTCCTGGTGTGGCACTGTGGATTAACACTGAACTGCTAACTGAAAGATAAGCAGTTCAAACCCACCAGCTGCTCTTTGGAAACCCTATAGAGGGTCGCTATGAGTCGGAACCGACTCAACGACACACAACAACTTCTATTATTGGAGTCTGACAAATTAGTATCTCAAAATGGTTAAGCAGCTTGGCTGTTAACCAAAAGGTTGACAGACTCGCTAAAATGTTGCAGCCTTGGAAAAGCTATGGCTAGTTCTACTCTGTCCTCTTAAAGGTCCGTAAGAGTCAGGGTAGTTTTTGTTGTTGTTGCTGCTGTTAAGTGCTTACCAGGGCATTTCTACTCCAAGTCCAAAGTGAGTGTTTCAGTTCTTTTGTTGTGCCTTACAGTCGGCTCTGCATAGGGTCTCTGAGGAGCAGCTGGTAGGTTTGAACCACTGACCTTGAGGTAAGCAGTCCACTGCTTGTCCTACAGAGTCACACAAGGATCGTGACAAATACGTTTATAGTTGTTAAGTGCCATAGAGTCCAACTCAGCGACCTCTTAAAGCGTTTTCGAGGAGTGGATGGTGTGTTTTCACGGGAGGCTCCAGCAGACTTGCTAGTGACCCTTCTTGTTTTGAGGAACGCACCAAGGCAAAATGTACAGTTATTTTTCTGTTGGAAATTTTGTTAAACATCTCGATACGTCAGCAGGACCTATCAGTAGAGCAAAAGCTTATCTATAGATAATTAGATTTAATAACTATGATTAATTTGTAGCAACATTTTAAAAGTGCAAGATTTGATGGCATTAGACTGATGTGAAGTCAAATGTTGTTGTTGTTAAGTGCCGTCGAGTCGATTCCGACCCATAGCGACCCTGTACAGGGTTTCCGAAGGTGTAAATCTTTACGGTAGAGAAGTCAAATATAGTTCTTTGAAATTTAGAAGGAACATTACATGAGAATACTTTAAAATAAACTTTTTAGAAAGCTTTAACTATACTACTATATTATTGAATTAATTATGTTTGAATTAAATTTGTAGGTAAGCATCTGAATTTAAAACACATAATTATGATTAAGTTGCCAATTAAAATGACTAAAATTAGGAATACATTTTGTAAAATTCTTTTGTTGGCACCAGTACTAATTTAATGTTAAATAAACTAAGCATTCACTTCTTTTAAAAAGCAAGTTACAGAGGCAGTCTTTGGAGGACTGTCCCTCTGCCTCCTTTATCTCCCATATACGTTTGTTTAAACTTTCCTCGCTTCACCATTTAAAAAAAAAAAAAAAAAGCCAAGCCCCCCCCTAAAAAAAAAACAGGGAATAGAAGCAAATACTGTTGAATGATGATGCACAGAGGAGACTGTCATCACTGCAATGAAATGGTGGTGTAAAGTGTTCTCCCATGTAAACTTTGACAATAAAAAGTTTAAAAAAAACAGCAAGTCACTTGGCTAGTTCTGGAAGTCAGACTATTTAAGCAATGAATTCAACCTGCAAATTAATAATTAAAAGAAAATCTTATTATTTTAATGACAAGAAACCCAACTCTTTGTTTCATACTGTTAACATTAAAACTAACAGATCTAAAATTAAACTTTAGTCAAAATGATGTACCTTGATTATATCAGATAATCTTTTTTTATTGAATTTTTAAACATTGTTTCAATTGCATGTTTCATAATCCTTTAAATGGGAAAATGTGCACAATAATTGAAGTCTTTCAAATGCCTACATCGTGTCTCTTAAAAGTAAAACCATGTGAATATTAAATTAAATATGCTAACTTAGTTCAACACTATTAAACTTACTTAAAGATATTGTCTGTCAGTTTGTCATACTGTGGTGGCTTGCATGTTGCTGTAATGCTAGAAGCTAAGCCACTGGTACTTTAAATACCAGCAGAGTACAGCCTTGGAATCCCTGTACAGGGTCGCTATGAGTTGGAACCAACTCTACTGCACATAACAACAACAACAACAAGAGTACACCCATGGTGGACAGATTTCAGCTGAGCTTCCACACTAAGACAGACTAGGAAAAAGTAGAGGAGGACTAATTCTGAATGGTTAGCCTCTGAAAATGTTATGAATAGCAGTGGAACACTGTCAGATAGCACCAGAATACTGAATATTGAAACATGAGGAATAGCACCAGAATACTGTCAGATAGAGTGCCAGAAGATGAGCCCCTCAGGTTGGAAGGCACTCAAAATACGACTGGAGAAGAGCTGTTTCCTGAAAGTAGAGTTGACTGCGATGATGTGACTAGAGTAAAGCTTACCAGAAATTTATTTGCTGATGGGGCATGAATCAAAATGAGGAGAAACAGCTATAAACATCCGCTGATAACCAGAACATTGAATGTAAGAAGTATAACTCTAGGAAAATTGGAAGTTGTCAAAAATGAAATGGAACACATAAAGATCGAAGCCTTAAGCTGGTATTCGCGGTTTTGAATCTGACATTCA